GCCACACTCTACAACGGGAGGGATCTGTTTGTTATAGAGGTCACCCTTACAACGGGAGAAGTCACACCCTACAACGGGAAGGATCTGTTTGTTATAAATGGGAGGAGAAGTCACACTTACAACGGAGGGAAGTTTGTTCTACAACGTCACACTCTACAATGGGAGGAGAAGTCACACTCTACAACGGGAGGGCCACACTCTACAACGGGAGGGATCTGTTTGTTATAGAGGTCACACTCTACAGCGGGAGAAGAGTCACACTCTACAACGGGAGGGAGAAGTTAAACTCACATGAGGGAAGTCACACTTTGTTATCAGAGGTCACACTTACAACGTTACACTCTACAACGGAGAAGAAGTTACACTCTACAACGGGAGGAGAAGTCACACTCTACAACGAGAGGAGAAGTCACACTCTACAACGGGGGAGGTTGTAGAGGTCATACTCTACAGCGGGAGGAGACGTCACACTCTACAATAGGAGGGATCTGTTTGTTGTATAGGTCACACTCTACAGCGGGAGGAGACGTCACACTCTACAACGGAAAAAGTCACAGTCTACAACGGGAGAAGTCACACTCTACAACGGGAGGGATCTGTTTGTTATAGAGGTCACACTCTACAGCGGGAGGAGAAGTCACACTCTACAACAGGAGGGATCTGTTTGTTGTATAGGTCACACTCTACAGCGGGAGTAGAAGTCACACTCTACAACGGGAGGAGAAGTCACACTCTACAACGGTAGGAGAAGTCACACTCTATAACGGGAGGAGAAGTCACACTCTACAACGGGAGGGATCTACAACGGGAGTTGTAGAGGTCACACTCTACAGCGGGAGAAAGTCACACTCTACAACGGGAGGGATCTGATTGTTGTATAGGTCACCCTTACAACGGGGGAAGTCACACTCTACAACGGGAGAAGTCATACTCTACAACGGGAGGAGAAGTCACACTCTACAACATGAGGGATCTGTTTGTTATGAAGGTCAAACTTTACAACGGGAGGAGAAGTCACACTCTACAACGGGAGGAGAAGTCACACTCTACAACAGGAGGAGAAGTCACACTCTACAACGGGAGGAGAAGTCACACTCTACAACGGGAGGAGAAGTCACACTCTACAACGGGAGGATCTGAAGTCACACTCTACAACGGGAGAAAGTCACACTCTACAACGGGAGGAGAAGTCACACTCTACAACGGGAGAAGTCACACTCTACAACGGGAGGAGAAGTCACACTCTACAACGGGAGAAAGTCACACTCTACAACGGGAGGGGTCTGTTTGTTATAGAAGTCACACTCTACAACAGGATGGATATATTTGTTATAGAGATCACACTCTACAACGGGAGGGATCTGTTGTTGTACAATAAGTCACACTTACAACGGGAGGAAAGTCACACTCTACAACGGGAGAAGAAGTTACACTCTACAACGGGAGAAGTCACACTCTACAACGAGAGGAGAAGTCACACTCTACAACGGGAGGAGAAGTCACATTCTACAACGGTACGAGAAGTCACACTCTACAACAGGAGAAGTCACACACTACAACGGAAGAAGAAGTCACACTCTACAACGGGAGGGGTCATACTCTACAACGGGAGAAGAAGTCACACTCTACAACGGGAGGGGTCTGTTTGTTATAGAAGCCACACTCTACAGCGGGACGACAAGTCACACTCTACAACGGGAGAAGAAGTCACACTCTACAACGGGAGGGGTCTGTTTGTTATAGAGTTCACAATCAACAACAGGAGGAGAAGTCACACTTTACAACGGGAGGGGTCTGTTTGTTATAGAAGCCACACTCTATAACGGGAGAAGTCACACTCTACAACGGGAGATGTCACACTCTACAACGGGAAGAGAAGTCACACTTTACAACGGGAGGGGTCTGTTTGTTATAGAAGCCACACTCTATAACGGGAGAAGTCATACTCTACAACGAGAGGAGAAGTCATACTCTACAACGGGAGGAGAAGTCACAGTCTGCAAAGGGAGAAGCCACACTCTACAACGGGAGGGATCTGTTTGTTATAGAGGTCACCCTTACAACGGGAGAAGTCACACCCTACAACGGGAAGGATCTGTTTGTTATAAATGACAGACCTTACAACGGAAGGAGAAGTCACACTCTACAATGGGAGAAGAAGTCACACTCTACAACGGGAGGGGTCTGTTTGTTATAGAAGCCACACTCTACAGCGGGAGAAGAGGTCACACTCTACAACGGGAGGAGAAGTTAAACTTTACAACATGAGGGATCTGTTTGTTATCAAGGTCAAACTTTACAACGGGAGAAGAAGTTACACTCTACAACGGGAGGAGAAGTCACACTCTACAACGAGAGGAGAAGTCGCACTCTACAACGGGAGGAAAAGTCACACTCTGCAACGGGAGAAGCCACACTGTACAACAGGAGGGATCTGTTTGTTGTATAGGTCACATTCTACACTGGGAGGAGAAGTCACAGTCTAAAACAGGAGGGATCACACACTCTGCAACGGGAGAAGCCACACTGTACAACAGGAGGGATCTGTTTGTTGTATAGGTCACATTCTACACTGGGAGGAGAAGTCACAGTCTAAAACAGGAGGGATGTGTTTGTTGTATAGGTCACACTCTACGGAGGGGGGGGGGGGGGGAGAAGTCACAGTCTACAACTGGAGGGATCTGTTTGTTGTATAGGTCACACTCTACAGCGGGAGGAGAAGTCACACTCTACAACGGAAGGAGATGTCACACTCTACAACGGGAGGAGAAGTCACACTCTACAACGGGAGAAGAAGTCACACTTTACAACGGGAGGGATCTGATTGTTGTATAGGCCACACTCTACAGCGGGAGGAGAAGTCACACTCTACAACGGGAGGGATCTGATTGTTGTATAGGTCACCCTTACAACGGGGGAAGTCACACTCTACAACGGGAGAAGTCATACTCTACAACGGGAGGAGAAGTCACAACCTACAACGGGAGGAGAAGTTACACTTTACAACATGAGGGATCTGTTTGTTATGAAGGTCAAACTTTACAACGGGAGGAGAAGTCACACTCTACAACGGGAGGAGAAGTCACACTCTACAACAGGAGGAGAAGTCACACTCTACAACGGGAGGAGAAGTCACACTCTACAACGGGAGGAGAAGTCACACTCTGCAACGGGAGAAGCCACACTCTACAACGGGAGGGATCTGTTTGTTATAGAGTTCACAATCAACAACAGGAGGAGAAGTCACACTCTACAACGGGAGGGATCTGATTGTTGTATAGGTCACCCTTACAACGGGGGAAGTCACACTCTACATCGGGAGAAGAAGTCACACTCTACAACATGAGTGATCTGTTTGTTATCACGGTCAAACTTTACAACGGGAGGAGAAGTCACACTCTACAACGGGAGGAGAAGTCACACTCTACAACGGGAGGAGAAGTCACACTCTACAACAGGAGAAGTCACACTCTACAACGGGAGAAGTCACACTCTGCAACGGGAGTCACACTCTGCAACGGGAGAAGCCACACTCTACAACGGGAGGGATCTGTTTGTTATAGAGGTCACCCTTACAACAGGAGAAGTCACACTCTACAACAGGAGGGGTCTGTTTGTTATAGAGTTCACAATCAACAACAGGAGGAGAAGTCACACTCTACAACGGGAGGGATCTGATTGTTGTATAGGTCACCCTTACAACGGGGGAAGTCACACTCTACAACGGGAGAAGTCATACTCTACAACGGGAGCAGATGTCACACTCTACATCGGGAGAAGAAGTCACACTCTACAACGGGAGGAGTCACACTCTACAACGGGAGGGGTCTGTTTGTTGTAGAGGTCACACTCTACAGCGGGAGGAGAAGTCACACTCTACAACAGGAGAAGTCATACTCTACAACGGGAGGAGAAGTCACACTCTACAACGGGAGGAGAAGTCACACTCTCACACTCTACAACGGGAGGAGAAGTCACACTCTGCAACGGGAGAAGCCACACTCTACAACGGGAGGGATCTGTTTGTTATAGAGGTCACCCTTACAACAGGAGAAGTCACACTCTACAACAGGAGGGGTCTGTTTGTTATAGAGTTCACAATCAACAACAGGAGGAGAAGTCACACTCTACAACGGGAGGGATCTGTTTGTTGTATAGGTCACACTCTACAGCGGGAGGAGAAGTCACACTCTACAACAGGAGGGATCATTTTGAAAAAATATATAACTGATTAAGAAAGATGTATATTTATTTTGTATGAGAATTCATCTACCCTTTCTCTTATAAATGGATGTCTATTTACTACGGACACCATGTACGTATCTAATCTTACTTTTACCTCTACTTATGTTAATTTAAACAGTTTTGACATTCTATATATAAATACTTGCCTCTCTCTGAGAGTAATGTGCATTATTCTGTTGTGTGTAAAATTGATAAAATGCAGATATCTTAGCATATCTAGTCCATGGATTACACAGTGCCACCGGGTCACATCTGAGAATTGTCACAAATGAAACCGTATTCTGAAGCACACGTGCCTGCAGTACGCGGGCGAGTTTATTCCGTATTTAAGAAGAGGTCAAGGTAAGCGACCCCAACATCTGGCACTGACCCCATTCTGTTTTCACAACAACAGTCTTGTGACGGAGTAGACCGACTTGGCCTCGATCGATAATTGTGTAACAGTAACAACCACGGCTTGACAACAGAGGAATATTATACCTCGAGTACGAAGTTCTGACAGGTTGTGGGTTAATCTCCCGGAAACGTATTGCACAATGAGACACGCAAGGTAAGGACTAAGTACGAAATGTTGAGCCAGCTAGCTTTCCTTGCCAGTTTACCCAAGTGTAGGCCTGAACCACAGGACTCTTACATAAGGAACGGGTATGATGATAAGGTAGTCAGAACGCCGACGTTCGTCGGTGAGACGATATCCGGAAACTGGAGGAGTCACGGAGACGGAACACATGTACTTGTGGGCTCGATTGATGAGACTATAGCGTGTGGGGTTCTTTTTTTGTATAATTTTTAAATGCTTCTGAAATCGAGTCCACAAGTACCAGCGTGCCACTATCAGGATTGGTGACGGTGTGTTAAAACACACTGCTTCTATTGTCCGTCTGTCTATCCTCACCTAATCAGTTTCGAGAAAACTTAACTGTAAATCATAGCAAACGGGATATTTGTCTTTGCAAATAAATAACGTTTACCACCAAACATGATAAAACCGTGGAATACACATTTATTGGACTAACAAAGATAAAAAAATAGAAAATAATAATAATAATAACAATAAAACCAAAAATCTTGACAGGTGCACATGGTCATGTCCTATCTTTGTTGAGTTTGGTGATAAAATCTTCCAACAGAATATTGGCATACCAATGGGACCAGATTAATTAACTGTGCCCTCTGTTGGCTGATTATCCCCTGCGAAACGCGTTTGCGTCCTTCCGTCCAAGTGCTTTTCCGGGCTATAACTTCGAAACCGTTCCACTCAACTTCACGAAACCTTCTGCACATATTAAGTGGGTGCACTTTTTGTGCCTATTGCTATAGACGACATTTCACTTTTTATATTTTTTTCTGTTACCATGGAAACTTAGAAAACACTAAAAGAAGGCTTTTCCGAGCTATAACTTCCAAACCGTTCCACTCAACTTCAGAAAACTTCCTATATATTAAGTCATTGCCCTAGTTGTGCCTTTTGCTATTGTTGTCATTTCACTTATTATAATTTTTTTGTTACCATGGAAACATAATCAGAAAACACCAAAAGAGTGCTTTTCCTAGCTATAACTTCCAAACCGTTCCACTCAACTTCAGAAAACTTTCTATATATATTAAGTCACTGCCTTAGTTGTGCCTTTTGCTATTGTTGACATTTCACTTATTATATTTTTGTTGTTACCATGGAAACATAATCAGATAACACCAAAAGAGGGCTTTTCTGAGCTATAACTTCCAAACTGTTCCACTCAACTTCAGAAAACTTCCTATATATATTAAGTCACTGCCTTAGTTGTGCCTTTTGCTATTGTCGACATTTCACTTATTATATTTTTGTTGTTACCATGGAAACATAATCAGATAACACAAAAAGAGGGCTTTTCCGAGCTATAACTTCCAAACCGTTCCACTCAACTTCACAAAACTTTCTGCACATATTAAGTGGGTGCCCTATTTGTGCCTTTTGCTATTACCGTCATTTCACTTTATATATGTTTTTTCTGTTTCCATGGTAAACATAGTCAGATAAGTTGACATATCAGTTAAATGCCACTTAATTCTTGAAATGTTACATATTTGATTGGTACGATGTGTCTTACAAATTAATGTCGATATACTGCAATGGAATTATTATTAGGTGTGTGTGATCTGCCATATGCTGTTTATAACATCATACTGTGGTTACCAAGGCATTATGATAATTGTATCGCCTGAACATAGCTGTTATGCCTGAAAACATTACTGAAACACATTTGTTGTGTTGATTCTATATTTTCAATTATATCTGTATAGATATATATCTATAATGTTGAAGTTGAGGAGATGTGAGTTTACCATTTTCTACTGCTCTCACTGTAATAGACCTTCACGTGTAAAGTACTGATACATAAGTGTGTGAAGTCTCAAATTATTACAGTGCTATATGTAGCATATTTGGGTTCCATACCAACACCTGTGCGCGGGGGATAATGCCACGCTTTGCGGCATCTTGTTTGTTTTTGTTTTCATATGAATCTGAATTTATGGATGAGCTTATCAAACCAGGTTACAAAGACCTAGCAAAGTTGTTTAATTTCACCTTTAGATGATGTCTTGTCTTTGAATAACAAAAAAATTATTGACCTAAGTGTATTGTATAAACTTACCAGAATTGTTAATCAAGGATACAACAGTTTCTTCTATATCAGCAACCTATCTTGAACTTCTACAACAAAGCCAACATGGACATCTTTCAATGACCATGTATGATAAGTGTGATCATTTCATACTTCTATTGTGAATTTTTCATTTTTGATTGCAACAACACTGCATTCTAGGCAAGCAGAAACAAGTTAATGTTCTCTTCTACCTAACAGAGAGGTGTGTGTGTGTGATCTACCGCCTAACACAGAGGTGTGTGTGTGATCTACCACCTAACACAGATGTGTGTGATCTACCACCTAACACAGAGGTGTGTGTGTGATCTACCACCTAACACAGAGGTGTGTGTGTGATCTACCACCTAACACAGAGGTGTGTGATCTACCACCTAACACAGAGGTGTGTGATCTACCACCTAACACAGAGGTGTGTGTGTGATCTACCACCTAACACAGATGTGTGTGATCTACCACCTAACACAGAGGTGTGTGATCTACCACCTAACACAGAGGTGTGTGTGTGATCTACCACCCAACACAGAGATGTGTGTAATCTACCACCTAACACAGAGGTGTGTGTGTGATCTACCACCTAACACAGAGATGTGTGTGATCTACCACCTAACACAGAGGTGTGTGTGATCTACCACCTAACACAGAGGTGTGTGATCTACCACCTAACACAGAGATGTGTGTGATCTACCACCTAACACAGAGGTGTGTGTGTGATCTACCACCTAACACAGAGGTGTGTGTGTGATCTACCACCTAACACAGAGGTGTGTGTGTGATCTACCACCTAACACAGAGGTGTGTGTGTGATCTACCACCTAACACAGAGATGTGTGTGATCTACCACCTACACAGAGATGTGTGTGATCTACCACATATCACAGAGGTGTGTGTGATCTACCACCTAACACAGAGGTGTGTGTGTGATCTACCACCTAACACAGAGATGTGTGTGATCTACCACCTAACACAGAGGTGTGTGTGTGATCTACCACCTAACACAGAGGTGTGTGATCTACCACCTAACACAGAGGTGTGTGTGATCTACCACCTAACAGAGATGTGTGTGATCTACCACCTAACACAGAAGTGTGTGTGATCTACCACCTAACAAAGAAGTGTGTGTGTGATCTACCACCTAACATAGAGGTGTGTGTGTGATATCTACCACCTTACACAGAAGTTTGAGTGATCTACCACCTAACACAGAGATGTGAGATATGCTAGGGATCAGAAAATAATATGGTACCATATGATTAATGTTGTCTCTTGTTTTCCAGGACTGTTCGTTTGCTGTTTGACATGAAGGCAGTCACTGCACCTTGTTGTAGAGGTACTGTGACAGCGACATCAACCCAGTCGGCTGAGGTCACAAAGTCAACAGGCGGCAACAACTTATTGGATATCCCTGGCCCTGGCGGCATTTACACTCTCCCGTACATTGGGATGCGGCTGATGTTCAAACCATTCAGTAATACAATATTGGCTATATTTAACAGAATTCGGTTTTATGTACGTATTGTTTGTCAACAATGCTGTCACAAATTTCAGCAAGCTCTACCATAATATCACATTTAGTTGTCATTGTTGATGCTGAAGGTCAAAAGTCACAGGTCACTTTTATCCACTTTTGATACATTAATATGAAAAGTTGCTGTTTGTGATAAAGAAAATCAAAAGATTTAGTAAAAAATAAAATCATGTGATGAACCAATCAGATTTAGTTTTAGACACTATATATTGTATGTCACTAGGTAAATATGATAAGTAATACTGTATTGTATGTCACCAGGTAAATATGATAAGTAATACTGTATTGTATGTCACTAGGTAAATATGACAAGTAATACTGTATTGTATGTCACCAGGTGAATATGATAAGTAATACTGTATTGTATGTCACCAGGTAAATATGATAAGTAATACTGTATTGTATGTCACCAGGTAAATATGATAAGTAATACTGTATTGTATGTCACCAGGTAAATATGACAAGTAATACTGTATTGTATGTCACCAGGTGAATATGATAAGTAATACTGTATTGTATGTCACCAGGTAAATATGATAAGTAATACTGTATTGTATGTCACCAGGTAAATATGATAAGTAATACTGTATTGTATGTCACCAGGTAAATATGATAATAATGCTGTATTGTATGTCACCAGGTAAATATGATAATAATGCTGTATTGTATGTCACCAGGTAAATATGATAAGTAATGCTGTATTGTATGTCACCAGGTAAATATGATAAGTAATGGTGTATTGTATGTTATTAGGTAAATACGACCTTCGCCTGCTCAATGAAAAAATGGTTGCTTTGAGGGATGAGTATGGTCCGATTGTGCGTATAAGGCTGCGAAACATGTGGAGTTTGTACCTCTTTGATCCTGACGACATTGAGAAAGTGTTTCGGGCAGACCAGAAATACCCCGAGCGTGCAATGCTCCCTCTCCTCACAGTATATGAAAAGCGCCAAAACATACCATCGAGTCTGTCAAATACGTAAGTTGTCAAACCAAATTCCTGTCTTCTATATCATTTTCTTCAATAGATGCTGATGTCTTCATTGTTCAGGATGATAATTAATTATTGCTCTGATCATCCTGAATCAGTTTAGTTGTATCAGCATCACTCGTCAGTTTGATCTCTGAATTGTTTTTTGTTCATTTCGGTCCTTTGTTTCAATAGGCACCTATCATCACTTATGAGTCCTGGATAGGCAAAATAGTTCTATGTTCCAGTTTAATTCATAATTTAGTGTTAGTTCATATAGAAAATATACTCCTCCAAGTGTTTGATGTCTCTGATAATTGTTTTACAGAAATGGTGAAGAGTGGTATTCCATGAGGAGCCCAACTCAAAAAATCATGCTTCGTCCCAAAGCAGTGACAAAATATGCACCCAAGCTGAGCAAAATAGCGGACGATTTTGTGGAGAAATTGGACGGTAAAGATCGCCTAGAAAACCTGCCTTTCAAACTGATGGAATATTCTGCTGAAGGTTTGTAGATGCTTGGATTTTTGGTGAATGTGATTATATTGAATGTTCTAGGATCATTTTTGTTTATCTGTTGGTTGATTGGCTATGTGTATATTACATACAGATGAAACTACTCATCATATTTTGCTTCAACTACGGCTTTCAAGGCCAGTATTGATATTTGTAGGTCTCTATCAACTGCCTAAAATGTCATATATTAAGTGCTGACAAACCAGTTTGCCTTAATAGCCCCTATGTGTATAGATATTGTGCTCTGTGTTATAGGTGTGGGAATGCTGTGCTTTAACACTCGTTTGGGTTGTATCACTCCAGACAACACTGTTACACCTCTAATGGCCTACACCAAGGATTATCTGGATCGCCTTGGGAACCATTTTTACAAAACTATTCCATCTTACATGTTTTTTCGGACCAAGTACTATAAGGATTTTGAGAAGTCTGCCAATTTTTTGTACAGGTACAGCTACTAATCCATTTAGTTTTGGATCTAGCTCGCTATCATCATATGACATATTGATTGAATTAGTCAGTCTGTCAATCCATAAATATTTGGTTTGTGATTGTGCAGGTGTAATTATGCGTGCCTTCTTCAAAGTATAAGTCATTAGGCATTAAGCAGGAGTAGTGTTTTAAAGGAAAAGATGACGATGGAAGGCACAACAGCATAACAGCATTAGGGTCATCTCTTTTCTGGTCATATGACCTAAAAATGGGTAGCAGGATATAGACTCATACTTTGAATAATTCCCACATAGAGTGATCTTTCAGATCAAATTTGGTTGAAATCCATCCACGCATTAAGGAAGAGTTATGTTTGGAAGCAAAATATTGACTAACGTTCCAATTTTGGGTCTGGCCCCTACATCCCTAGGGGTTGAATCAACTTTCTGAAATTAAAAAATGATTCTCCACTCCTAATGATGTTTCAGACCAAACTTTGTTGAAATCAGCACAGGCATTAAGCAAATTTGGTCTGAAAGATCATTGTGTGTGGGGATTCATTTCATAAATTAAGAAAGTTGATTTGATCCCTAGGGACTTGGGAAGGAGGCCTTAAAGCTGGAGTTTTAAATACTACGCTTTAATGCTTGGGCAGGAGGGGCAGGGCCCCTTAGTGGAAATAGAGCTAATTCTTTAAAATCTTCCTCACTCCACCTGTGGGAATGATGAATTTTGTCAAAGTATGGTCTGAGGCACCCTTAGGTAAATCGAAATCAGTTTTGTATAAATGGTGAGACCAGGACCCATTTGAGGGAAATTCTTTAAAATACTTTTAAGAACAGAGGGGTGGGACCCAATGAAGAAATGAATATAGAGTGTGTGTGTGCTTAGAAATTAAAAATTCCTTTTCTTTTGTTTTAGTGAAAGAAAGCCTGGTTATTGATACAGGTCCTATTGGCATCATAATTTTGAAAATTGGTTTCTTTCAAATTTTTAGATCACCAAAGTCATTTTTAGCATAACCTTGGTTATTTACCTCTGGAAATAACTTTGTAAGAATTATCAATATAGGATGACAGTTTTGATGGTATGCATGTATTGACACTGCCTTACTATATTCAGTGTCACAACTACCATTTAAACTTTATATTCAATATTGCTTATCTCAGGTGACCGTCAAGGCCGCTAAGCCTCTTGTTATACATGGTTACAGATTCAGGTTGAAGATTTTGAAATGTCAGTTTTCGACGTCTTTAATACTTAAAATACATTAAGGCAAACATTGTCAATGGAAAGTAAACCCTCAAACAAACAATTTGTGTGTGGTTCTGAATGTTGTATTTTGTCTCTTCATGGCTATCTTTTTCTTGTTACTATAAACAGCATTGCCAATGGATGGATTTTGTGAAAACTTTTTAATTATAACTTGCCTGGTCTGATCACAATTCATATTCTTACCCTTCTTAAACATCTGGACTTCATACATTTTTTAATGCACTCTGTGTAAATATTTGTTGAAATTTGTTTAATTTTGTTTAAATGTCAGTATTTTCTTCTTTTTTTTTTCACATCATGAATTCAAATATCAGAGTGCAGAGGACAATTTCATCCTACAATTCTTTTCCATCTCAAATGCCAAAATATCACTAGTCAGGAATGTGATTGAATCACCTGTGACCAAATATTTTCTCGAAAGTGTCTTTTGATGAAAGCCACAGGAGCTTGGCATGAATTTCTATCCCATAGTCCATATGTATTATAGTCACTAAGATATATATATGGGCTGAGAATTTGTGCCAAGTCCCTGTGGAGAAAGTGACTGAAGTTGATTTTGATGTAATAAAAGTTCTTACAGTAGAACCAACACAAGATATGATTGTGGCGTTTTGATGACTACAGTCACCTTCATCAGACTTGTAGATGTTGACGGTTTATCCTCCTTGGAGGCGAAGAAATAGGGGCCATTAGATGTATAACAGGAAAAAAATCCTTCTGTTCTGGTGAAAGGTTTTTAACTGTTTGGTATGGAACATATGTAACAAGATGTTAAATATAATCATTTTTAAATACCAGCACTGCAGATGAACATATTAACAAGACACTGAAGCTAGTTCAACAAGCATCAGAAGATGGTGTAGAATATGAAAGCAACCTCCTTTTCGACCTTCTTTCCACTCCTGGACTGACTACAGGACAAGTTCGTCGCACAATTACAGATGTGTTCATTGGTGGAATAGATTCTGTAAGTAAAACAAATTTACCAAGACAAAAGTTACTAAAAAATTTTGAATTACAAGGTTGCCACCTTGCAGAAGTCTATGGGAGGAGGCAAAAGCAGAAGTCTATGGGAGGAGGCAAAAGCAGAAGTCTATGGGAGGAGGCAAAAAGAGGTCACAGTAACCAAAATCTCAAAAACGTCTTAAGACTGAGAGATTGTAGAATGAAACTTTTTATACAATGTAGGTGGAAGGTTCCTAAAGTGCTTTACCAAAATTAATGACTTCAAGTTCCATGTCACCTGTTGGGAGTGAGGTAAAAGTCACGATAGTTTAAATATAAAATACATTTTTTGAGCTTAATAAGTTAAACTGGATATAATTCAGACCGTATAGCATGGTTAGAACTTATAGCTCACCTGGCTCAAATGGCCAAGTGTGCTCACTATTTCTCTGTCAATAATTTTGCTGTATGTTTGTGTTTGTTTCCTTTAGACGGCCAACTCTATGACATTCCTACTATTCTATCTCGCCAAACACCAAGATAAACAGGAACGTCTTTTCAAAGATCTTTGTGAACATGTGTTAAAGCGGGGAGAAATCCAAGAAGACACCATCAACAAGATCCCTTACCTGAAAGCATGCCTCAAGGAATCTTTTCGGTAAGGTCTGCTTGACATCACACTCTACTGCTTTCTATCACGTAGTGGAGGAGATACTATAAATAGATACAGTGGTGTGTTCTTCTCCTAATCCATGTGCATTCTTAAGTCCACTGGTCAAAGGTGAAGTTCTGAGAGTTTTTGTTATGATGTTGAAGAGCTAAATTAGTAGAAATCAAATCAAAAGTCAACTGACCAAACATGGTGATGGGTCATAGGTCAAAGTGACATTTTTTAGGTCACCTGATCTAAGGGCTAAATTGAGCCATACAAAAATGAACATAAAATTCTGTTTGTGGACAAGACAATTTTAAACTGGAAATTATTTGAAATTGATTCTTGAAAATGTGAACACATTTTAAATGTAAAGAGGTGGATAAAATTTGGGATCATTTCAATAAATGATTGAATTTGATTTAATTGAATTGTATTTGTTCTTCTCCATTAAACCATGTATATACACAAGCAAGGATTTGCTGTCAAAGGCCATATCAGGGGGAATTCAATAACAATATTTCCTATAAAAATCAAGGAGAAAGTAATAGAAATAAAAAGTAGACAACAAATAAAGAATGGATTGACTTTAAGTATTTTATTTATCTGTGAAAAGTTGATAATATTTCTTAAAGTTGATTAAACCAAATTTAAAATATCCCTTTTATGTGTTAAGATTTGGTGGAGAGCAAAAATCACTTGACCATCTAGGCCTGGGACAAGTGACCATCAAAGCCTGGTCAAGTGACAATCAAGGCCTTGTCAAGTGACCATCAAGGCCTTGTCAAGTGACCATCTAGGCCTGGTCAAGTGACCATCAAAGCCTGGTCAAGTGACCATCTAGGCATCAAAGCCTGCTCAAGTGACCATCAAACAGGTACATGTGTAAATGGCAGTAAAGGAATGTAGAATGGTATTCCCCATTATCAATGTGTTGTATGATAATGTTATCAACATGTGTTGTAGAATGGTGTTCCCCATCACAGGAGGTACTGTAAGGATTCTGGACAAGGACATTACATTACAGGGATATAATGTCCCCAAGGGGGTAAATATATTCCAATTTTGAACATTTTATATTTGAAAGGACAATTTCCATGATGAATGCAGTTAACAACAAATATCATGAAAATCCTTATGTTCTTACAGACACCAATGCAACTGTGCAGTGGGCCAATAGGGAGAGATGAAAAGTACTTTCCTGAGCAGGACCAGTTCATCCCCGAGCGCTGGATTCGTGGGGATACCAAGACCGATGTGAACCCCTTTGCTCACCTTCCATTTGGATTTGGACCACGCAAATGCATTGGCCAGAGATTCGCTGAGCAGGAAATCTATATTTGTACTGCTAAGGTGGGTTCAACATTTTTATATGCTTTTAGCTTAACTAACCCAAAGGGCCATGTAAGCTTATTGCATACAATGGTGTCCTTTGTCAACTTTTTTCCAGAAAATTGAAACATGTCTTAAACGACTTACAGAATATTGCTCAAATGTAGTCTGAAGCATTCTTAGGTGAAGGGGAATTAATTTTGCATAAATGGTGAGTTTTTGCCCCTAGGGGCCTGAGGACCCAAAAGGGGAAACAGAGCAAATTATTTAAAATCCTACTCCTCCTGTAGGGATGATTGGAGTTTTACCAAATTTGGTCTGAAGCACTCCAGGGTAAAGTAAAATTGATCTTGTATAGCTAAAATATTGGTCTTAGCTCCCTGAGGCAGGAGTTGCATAGCCAAATGAGGGGAACTGAGCAAATTATTTAAAATCCTTCTACTTCTTTGGGAATAACATGTCCCAATTTGGTGAAGGAGACTTCTGTGTAAATGGATTTGCAGGCCCCTTGGGGGGTAAAAAGACTTCCTGTTCCTTGAAATGAAACAATTTCAGTCTAACAAAATCAGGTGAGCAATAGGCTCTCTGGGCCTCTTGTTTGTAATAGGATTTTTGTTATTTAATTTTTGTTTGATTTGAATGAAGATTAAGCAATGTATAAATGCTAGCTGACTTTTTGTGTAAAAGTTTACTGTATAACATTTTCAATCAATTATATTATTGATCAAATCACATATTTAACTTCCATTCCAATCTTTAGCTCCTGCGGAACTACCGTGTGGTGCTGCCCCCTGGTGTCACAGAAATTCCCTACTTCTATAGCATATTTGCTACTCCACGTGAGCCTACTAGCTTCATCCTTGAGAAACGCCAGGACTGATTTCACTGTGTACAGAATGAGGCCTTTGTCCCAATCTTTCCCAACACAACACCAGGAAATGGACAACAGGATCAAAGGCCAATAATCCAGAGTTTGTTGGTTTCAGGCTCTGGTTGCTCAAAGATTAGTTAGAGTTATGCAGTGGTTAGTGAAAAAATTAAGTTGTTGCCACAGAGAATACAAGAGCATTCAAGGCAAAATTAACATTCCAATATATCAACCTGACTTCAACAAATCTACAGCTGCAAAATGATAAAAAAAAATTCTCAATTTTGTTAAATTTATTTGGAAAATTTTCATTAAGTGCTGGTTATCTCCGTCTTTGAACAGTGGGGTCCTGGTATATGGTCTTTGTCTCAGTGTTTTGGAGGACTCTCAAGACTAAGATAAAGACAGTTTATAAAAGTAGTAAACTGTTTAAAACCTGTATACGGACCTAAAGATCCAAATCGGTCAAAATTATTGTTGACTGGGATGTATACTAACCAGAAAATTCAATAAATTTGATAATTTTTAATCTTGAATGATTTCAAAAGAATGTTAAGCACATATGTATTCTGACCACCAACAGTGTCTACCAACAGCAGATAGCACCACTCAAATCACTGGTCACAAGGTCTCAGTTGTGTATGTGACACATGTGTATATACTGTTGGAGGTGTTGGATGTTGATTACACTGAACATTCAGTGACATTGTGACTTGATAATGTATATAATTAGCTCCTGGAGATTTCATCATAAATCATTTTGTAGTTATGATATACCAATATATAGACTAAGCATAGAGGAATTTTCTATAGGCAAGAAATTGCATCATCCAAGTGTGTAGAATAGCAGTGCTTGTGTAAATATTCTGTTCTGTTATAATGACATATTATAATTAATCTTTGATTATAACACTGCATTTATTAATCATAAAGACGGGTATGTAAACAGAGCATCCTCAATATTCCAGGGGTTACCCTCACTATCCCTCTCGGCATCCCTGGAACCATCCTCAACACTCAAGGTTTTACCCTCACTATCACTCTGTACCCCTGGAACCATCCTCTATACTCCAGGTTTTACCCTCACTATCCCTCTCTGTACCCCTGGAACCATCCTCGATACTCCAGGTTTTACCCTCACAATCCCTCTCTGTACCCCTGGAACCATCCTCGACACTCCAGGTTTTACCCTCACTATCACTCTCTGTACCCCTGGAACCATCCTCGATACTCCAGGTTTTACCCTCACTATCACTCTCTGTACCCCTGGAACCATCCTCGATACTCCAGGTTTTACCCTCACTATCCCTCTCTGTACCCCTGGAACCATCCTCAACACTCAAGGTTTTACCCTCACTATCTCTCTCGCCATCCCTGGAACCATCCTCGATACTCCAGGTTTTACTCTCTCTATCCCTCTGTGTACCCATGGAACCATCCTCGATACTCCACGGGTTACACTCTCTATAGCTCTCTGTACCCCTGGAACCATCCTCGATACTCCAGGTTTTTACGCTCTCTGTACCCCTTAAACCATTCATGGAAAATTGAAGGCACAAGTGAATTAATTTGATTGGTTTAGATCTGGTTGCAGCAGTGAAAAACTGACCAATCACAGACTGAAACAGTAATGTGAAGGCCACAAAAGAGCGACGCACAAGTTTGAAGACAATACAAAATAGTGTTATGTGACCATGTGATTTGTTTGATGTAGGATCAAACTATTTTCCTTGTCTTATCCAAAAGATGCAGCACGTGGAACCTTCAATTTAGTGATGAAATGGTCCAGGGGTGCGGAGAGCGATAAACCCTGGAATATTGAGGATGTTAGGCAGAGCTATGTACGTAGTCATATTGACATAGTCCTGATTAAAACTTACACAGGATACTCACTTATTATAGAGATTTTTAGTGTTGATTTTAATTCTATGAGATTAGTTAACATGTTTTTTTAATCAGATTTGTGAGTTAATTGATGTTTTCCTGACCCTCTAGATTTGTATATTTTACACCATTTTTATGTATGAAAGAGATTTTTTATCAAATAGGAGTTCTCATAACATGTGTTCTCTATGAAATATGATCACTGATTTGGCTGTGGTACAGGGTCTGTGTTTTACACAAAATAAGATCTGTAATTTAAGCTGTGGTAAAAGGTCTGTGTTTTACACAAAATAAGATCTGTAATTTAAGCTGTGGTAAAAGGTCTGTGTTTTACACAAAATAAGATCTGTAATTTAAGCTGTGGTGAAAGGTCTGTGTTTTACACAAAATAAGATCTGTAATTTAAGCATGTAATTTAAGTTGTGGAACAGAGTGTGTATGCTTGAGAGAATGAAATCTATCCAACTTCCAGAATCATATATATATACAATTGTTGGGCTTTGTGTATGAACCTGAATCATACATACCGTTGTTGGGCTTTGTGTATGATCCTGAATCATACATACCGTTGTTGGGCTTTGTGTATGATCCTGAATCATACATACCGTTGTTGGGCTTTGTGTATGATCCTGAATCATACATACCGTTGTTGGGCTTTGTGTATGATCCTGAATCATACATACCGTTGTTGGGCTTTGTGTATGATCCTGAATCATACATACCGTTGTTGGGCTTTGTGTATGATCCTGAATCACACATACCGTTGTTGGGCTTTGTGTATGATCCTGAATCACACATACCGTTGTTGGGCTTTGTGTATGATCCTGAATCACACATACCGTTGTTGGGCTTTGTGTATGATCCTGAATCACACATACCGTTGTTGGGCTTTGTGTATGATCCTGAATCACACATACCGTTGTTGGGCTTTGTGTATGATCCTGAATCACACATACCGTTGTTGGGCTTTGTGTATGATCCTGAATCACACATACCGTTGTTGGGCTTTGTGTATGATTAATGTATGACTACAATGCATGAAATTGAACACATTATAACTGCCACAGTGAAGAATAGAAAGTGTGATGTTAGATTTTATCCAAAAATGTTTCCAATATAAGTGCATTGTATATGTATAATTTGTTGAATCTACAATGTTTCAATTTTGAATAATATTAATAAATAACATGCATGTGATTATTTTCGTCTTTGTGTTTTATTTACCAAGGTATGTGAAGAATGATACAGCTGAGTGGTATATTACTACTAGTATTTACCAGGGCTACATATATCACAAGTGCTTTAATATATCAACATTTGACCATTTCTCCCTGGTCTTACATACTCTCATGAAAATATTACACTTGATAGAATAAGTAGGTTTAGGATTTTTGATTTACATGTAAAAAAGTTGATATTCTTGAGTTCTGGAGGAAGGTATTCCCTTTACCATAACCTGTAACAAAACAAAGGTTTGTTATCATATAACCTGTAACAGAAGGGTTTGTAACCACATAACCTGTAACATTTGTAACCACATGACCTGTAACATGAAGGTTTGTTACCACATAACCTGTAACATAAAAGTTTGTTACCACATAACGAGTAACATAAAGGTTTGTTACCACATAATGAGTAACATGAAGGTTTGTTACCGCATAACGAGTAACAAGAAGGTTTGTTACCACATAACGAGTAACATGAAGGTTTGTTACCACATAACCTGTAACATAAAGGTTTGTAACCACATAACCTGTAACAGAAGAGTTTGTAACCACATGACCTGTAACATGAAGGTTTGTTACCACATAACCTGGTTTGTTACCACATAATGAGTAACATGAAGGTTTGTTACCACATAACCTGTAACATAAAGGTTTGTTACCACATAACCTGTAACATGAAGGTTTGTAACCACATAACCTTTAACATGAAGGTTTGTAACCACATAACGTGTAACATGAAGGTTTGTTACCACATAACCTGTAACAGAAGGGTTTGTAACCACATAAACTGTAACATGAAGGGTTTGTAACCACATAACCTGTAACAGAAGGGTTTGTAACCGCATAACCTGTAACAGAAGGGTTTGTAACCACATAACCTGTAACATGAAGGTTTGTTACCACATAACGAGTAACATAAAGGTTTGTTACCACATCACATGTAACATGAAGGTTTCTTACCACATAACCTGTAACATAAAGGATTGTTACCACATAACCTGTAACATGAAGGTTTGTTACCACATAACCTATAACATAAAAGTTTGTTATCACATAACCTGTAACATGAAGGTTTGTTACCACATAACCTGTAACATGAAGGTTTGTTATCACATAACGAGTAACATAAAGGTTTGTTACCACATAACGAGTAACATGAAGGTTTGTTACCACATAACCTGTAACATGAAAGTTTGTTACCACATAACCTGTAACATGAAGGTTTGTTACCACATAAACTGTAACATAAAGGATTGTTATCACATAACCTGTAACATGAAGGTTTGTAACCACATAACCTGTAACATAAAGGTTTGTAACCACATAACCTGTAACATGAAGGTTTGTTATCACATAACGAGTAACATAAAGGTTTGTTACCACATAACGAGTAACATGAAGGTTTGTTACCACATAACCTGTAACATGAAGGTTTGTTACCACATAACCTGTAACATGAAGGTTTGTTACCACATAAACTGTAACATAAAGGATTGTTATCACATAACCTGTAACATGAAGGTTTGTAACCACATAACCTGTAACATAAAGGTTTGTAACCACATAACCTGTAACATGAAGGTTTGTTACCACATAACGAGTAACATGAAGGTTTGTAACCACATAACCTGAAACATAAAGGTTTGTAACCACATAACCTGTAACATGAAGGTTTGTTACCACATAACCTGTAACATGAAGGTTTGTAACCACATAACCTGTAACATGAAGGTTTGTTACCACATAACCTGTAACATGAAGGTTTGTTACCACATAACCTGTAACATGAAGGTTTGTAACCACATAACCTGTAACATAAAGGATTGTTATCACATAACCTGTAACATGAAGGTTTGTAACCACATAACCTGTAACATGAAGGTTTGTTACCACATAACGAGTAACATAAAGGTTTGTTACCACATAACGAGTAACATGAAGGTTTGTTACCACATAACCTGTAACATGAAGGTTTGTTACCACATAACCTGTAACATGAAGGTTTGTTACCACATAACCTGTAACATAAAGGTTTGTAACCACATAACCTGTAACATGAAGGTTTGTTACCACATAACCTGTAACATAAAGGTTTGTAACCACATAACCTGTTTTGTTACCACATAACGAGTAACATAAAGGTTTGTTACCACATAACGAACATGAAGGTTTGTTACCACATAACCTGTAACATGAAGGTTTGTAACCACATAACCTGTAACATGAAGGTTTGTTACCACATAACCTGTAACATGAAGGTTTGTTACCACATAACCTGTAACATGAAGGTTTGTAACATGAAGGTTTGTAACCACATAACCACATAACCTAACCTGTAACATGAAGGTTTGTTACCACATAACCTGTAACATGAAGGTTTGTTACCACATAACCTGTAACATGAAGGTTTGTTACCACATAACCTGTAACATGAAGGTTTGTAACCACATAACCTGTAACATGAAGGTTTGTAACCACATAACCTGTAACATGAAGGTTTGTAACCACATAACGTGTAACATGAAAGTTTGTTACCACATAACCTGTAACATGAAGGTTTGTTACCACATAACCTGTAACATGAAGGTTTGTTACCACATAACCTGTAACATGAAGGTTTGTTACCACATAACCTGTAACATGAAGGTTTGTAACCACATAACCTGTAACATGAAGGTTTGTTACCACATAACCATAAAGGTTTGTAACATGAAGGTTTGTTACCACATAACCTGTAACATGAAGGTTTGTTACCACATAACCTGTAACATGAAGGTTTGTTACCACATAACCTGTAACATGAAGGTTTGTTACCACATAAACTGTAACATGAAGGTAACATTGTTATCATAACCTGTACATAACCACATAACCTGTAACATGTAACATGAAGGTTTGTTACCACATAACCTGTAACATAAAGGTTTGTAACCACATAACCTGTAACATGAAGGTTTGTTACCACATAACCTGTAACATGAAACATGAAGGTTTGTAACCACATAACCTGTAACATGAAGGTTTGTTACCACATAACCCGTAACATGAAGGTTTGTAACCACATAACCTGTAACATGAAGGTTTGTTACCACATAACGAGTAACATGAAGGTTTGTAACCACATAACCTGTAACATGAAGGTTTGTTACCACATAACCCGTAACATGAAGGTTTGTAACCACATAACCAGTAACATAAAGGATTGTTATCACATAACCTGTAACATGAAGGTTTGTAACCACATAACCTGTAACATGAAGGTTTGTTACCACATAACCTGTAACAAAACAAAGGTGGTAACCTGTAATAACAAATCATAAATAATACACTGTGACTATGGGCCTTTATCATCATTTATAACAAAGAGCATTAACCCTGCCATAATCTGATGAACTGAAATGCTGCTGAGAGAAGCCCAATATTAATGTCATGGTCATATTGCCTACTAAATTTGAAAGAGATAAGGTTGGAAAATGAGATTTTCTGACAAGACTGCAACATTTCCTGACAATAAAGCCATACAATGATTTCATGAGGACTGTTACAAAATAACTGACAAACTAGAAAATGTCTATAAGACATGAATGCCCCCGCCCCACCATGTGAAATAATAGTGAAAGGTCCGAAAGAGATGATTTTGTTAATTTGTATGCAACTATGTACAACTAAAGTTTCATACTTAAATTGACAAGTTGATTTAACGTACATGAATTTGGAATTTTGTTCTCTGGAAAAAATGAGGGAGTATATTAGTTCCTTATGCCTTAAAACCCACAAGTACCAAATTATGTAGAAATAAGATGATGTTCCTCTTTTTTGAGTTATCTCCCCCTGGTGGCCATCTTTTTTTAGAATGCCGAGAAATTCAACACTGCATGAGGTCTTTCCATACTTGATATTTGTATGAAGTTTCATGAAAATTGCCTTCCAAATGAAGTTGTTAGGTGGTATATACTGATTTGGGACGGGACGCGACGGGACGGGACGGGACGGACGGACATGGGCAACGCTATATGCCCCCGGCCATAAATGGCGGGGGCATAAAAAGGCCATATTCAAGTAATTTTTTTTCAAGAAAATATATATTAACTGACAGTTATTGTTTGAGCATGAACTAGAAGTGGCCACCACCAGTTTAAGTTTTAATATGAATATTAAAATAATCAACATTGTATGATCTTCAAACCATTTTTTCATCATAGAAAAATAAGAATCACAAAAATCTTTTCAGAAAATTTGTCTTCGGAAACAAAGACACAAATTCCAATAGATGAGTGAACAGAATCCATTTGCAGGATGAATCCATGAAAACAAGTTGTTATATTATTCAAGCAGAAAACTTTAATTTCTGAAGGACAGAACTTCATTCCTTTACAAGCCAACTGTATATTGCAATTAAGACATTGATTTTTGTCGTCTAATTTTGTAAACTTTTATGATGTCTGCATAAATATACCAACTTACAATATGTGTTAAAACAAGAGGCCCACAGGCTTTAAGAGTCATCTGACTATAAAGACCTATTAATGAAAGAGGCCAAATAGGTCTAACAAAAATTGCTCAACTACTCTGCAGCTTCTATAAAAGACACTGATTGGTTCATAAAGACATTTTCCGTAAACTTGAAATCATATTCTTTATACATGCACTACACAAATGCCATTACTCCAGGCATATTGCTTGTTGAAAAAACATGTTATAGGCCCAATATCAAGACCCTTGGCCTTTTGGTAATTGAGAAGATGTTGTTTAAGGATTTTAACATATATTGACATCTATAACCTTAAAAGCAGGTCAAGGTAATTTATATAAACAAACTTGGTAGCCTTTCATTCCATCACGATACAGACATAATATCAGCACCATGGACCTTTTGGTAATTGAGAAGCTGTCGTTTAAAGATTTAAACATAATTGACACCTGTGACCTTGAAAGCCTGTCAACATCATTTATATAAACAAACATGGTCGCCCTTTATTCCATCATGCTACAGGCCCAATATCAGTACCCTGTACCTTCTGGTTATTGGGAAGTCATCTGAATGGAAAGTTAAAACACAGCAGACATTGCATGACGACAGATGAAACACAATGCCTATAGGTCATCCTGACCCTTTGGGTCAGATGATTTTAGAAGCATAATTCTTACCTAAGGATTTCATCAGTTTTGTGGGAGCATTCCTTAGATGAAGTGGAACTGAAGGCTGTGTACCATGATGACCTTTCACCTGTGTTTTGGCTTTATCGTAAGCGTTGTATATTTCTACAGATTTAGGAGCTCTACAAAGGTACACTGTAGCCTGGGCCAGTATCACCTGTATAGGTAAAAGTGTACAAATACAGATCCTTAATAAATACACAACCGTTATCAAAACTGAATTGGGACTCCTATATAACAAATAACTAATATAAATCATTCATGAAATTATTGCTCTCTGCATTGAGATAAATACTTTTTGATGAAAGATTACAATAACTTGAAATATGTTTGAACATTCTGAACATGTCACTGCTCAATACAAGCCAGTTATAAGTCACTCTTCACTGCAAGCTAGCTACAGGTCACTACTCAATACAAGCCAGTTATAAGTCACTCTTCACTGCAAGCTAGCTACAGGTCACTACTCAATACAAGCCAGTTATAAGTCACTCTTCACTGCAAGCCAGCTACAGGTCACTACTCAATACAAGCCAGTTATAAGTCACTCTTCACTGCAAGCTAGCTACAGGTCACTGCTCAATACAAGCCAGTTATAAGTCACTCTTCACTGCAAGCTAGCTACAGGTCACTGCTCAATACAAGCCAGTTATAAGTCACTCTTCACTGCAAGCTAGCTACAGGTCACTGCTCAATACAAGCCAGTTATAAGTCACTCTTCACTGCAAGCTAGCTACAGGTCACTACTCAATACAAGCCAGTTATAAGTCACTTTCACTGCAAGCTAGCTACAGGTCACTGCTCAATACAAGCCAGTTATAAGTCACTCTTCACTGCAAGCCAGCTACAGGTCACTGCTCAATACAAGCCAGTTATAAGTCACTCTTCACTGCAAGCTAGCTACAGGTCACTGCTCAATGCAAGCCAGTTATAAGTCACTCTTCACTGCAAGCTAGCTACAGGTCACTGCTCAATACAAGCCAGTTATAAGTCACTCTTCACTGCAAGCTAGCTACAGGTCACTGCTCAATACAAGCCAGTTATAAGTCACTCTTCAGCAAGCTAGCTACAGGTCACTGCTCAATAGTTATAAGTCACTCTTCACTGCAAGCCAGTTATAATACAAGCCAGTCACTCTTCACTGCAAGCTAGCTACAGGTCACTGCTCAATACAAGCCAGTTATAAGTCACTCTTCACTGCAAGCTAGCTACAGGTCACTGCTCAATACTCACTACTCAATGCAATACAAGCCAGTTATAAGTCACTCTTCACTGCAGTACTCAATACAAGCCAGTTATAAGTCACTCTTCACTGCAAGCTAGCTACAGGTCACTACTCAATACAAGCCAGTTATAAGTCACTCTTCACTGCAAGCTAGCTACAGGTCACTACTCAATACAAGCCAGTTATAAGTCACTCTTCACTGCAGGCTAGCTACAGATCACTACTCAATACAAGCCAGTTATAAGTCACTCTTCACTGCAAGCTAGCTACAGGTCACTGCTCAATACAAGCCAGTTATAAGTCACTCTTCACTGCAAGCTAGCTACAGATCACTGCTCAATACAAGCCAGTTATAAGTCACTCTTCACTGCAAGCTAGCTACAGGTCACTACTCAATACAAGCCAGTTATAAGTCACTCTTCACTGCAAGCTAGCTACAGATCACTGCTCAATACAAGCCAGTTATAAGTCACTCTTCACTGCAAGCTAGCTACAGGTCACTGCTCAATACAAGCCAGTTATAAGTCACTCTTCACTGCAAGCCAGCTACAGGTCACTGCTCAATACAAGCCAGTTATAAGTCACTCTTCACTGCAAGCCAGCTACAGGTCACTGCTCAATACAAGCCAGTTATAAGTCACTCTTCACTGCAAGCCAGCTACAGGTCACTGCTCAATATAAGCATTATAAGTCACTTTTCACTGCAAGCCAGCTACAGGTCACTGCTCAATACAAGCGTTATAAGTCACTTTTCACTGCAAGCTAACTACAGGTCACTGCTCAATAAAAGCCAGTTGTAAGTCACTTTTCACTGCAAGCCAGCTACAGGTTACTGCTCAATAAAAGCCAGTTATAAGTCACTTTTCATTGTTACCAGCTACAGGTCACTGCTCCAAGAAGGATAACTTCTAGCTACTTTTCCTATTGTGGTACATGTAATTTGCTTAAAAGAAGATATGACTTCAGTGACCTTTATCTTCAGTAAATATACATGCAACCTAGAGAAAGTAGTTTACTTACATCACATTCTGGCATCCCTATCAGTTGACAGGCTTGGTAGGCAGACACAGCCTGCGTGAGAGCTGAAGGATCTGCAAGACCTACAAATACAAGCGTATTCTCCGAGATAATTCCAGTAATAACAGACCTAGAAACACACATGTATTCCCCGAGATAATTCCAGTAATAACAGACCTACAAACACACATGTATTCCCGAGATAATTCCAGTAATAACAGACCTACAAACACACATGTATTCCCGAGATAATTCCAGTAATAACAGACCTACAAACACATGTGTATTCCCCGAGATAATTCCAGTAATAACAGACCTACAAACACACATGTATTCCCCGAGATAATTCCAGTAATAACATGTATCTACATTTTATCAGATAATAGTGACATTATACATGTAATACTAGACTATCTTATAATAGTGACATTATACAAAGTAATACTAGACTATCTTATAATAGTGACATTATACAAAGTAATACTAGACTATCTGATAATAGTGACATTATACATGTAATACTAGACTATCTTATAATAGTGACATTATACAAAGTAATACTAGACTATCTTATAATAGTGACATTATACATGCAATACTAGACTATCTTATAATAGTGACATTATACAAAGTAATACCGGACTATCTGATAATAGTGACAATATACATGTAATACCGGACTATCTTATAATAGTGACATTATACAAAGTAATACTAGACTATCTGATAATAGTGACATTATACAAAGTAATACTAGACTATCTGATAATAGTGACATTATACAAAGTAATACCGGACTATCTGATAATAGTGACATTATACAAAGTAATACTAGACTATCTGATAATAGTGACATTATACATGTAATACTAGACTATCTGATAATAGTGACATTATACAAAGTAATACCGGACTATCTGATAATAGTGACATTATACAAAGTAATACCGGACTATCTGATAATAGTGACATTATACATGTAATACTAGACTATCTGATAATAGTGACATTATACAAAGTAATACTAGACTATCTGATAATAGTGACATTATACAAAGTAATACTAGACTATCTGATAATAGTGACATTATACAAAGTAATACCGGACTATCTGATAATAGTGACATTATACAAAGTAATACTAGACTATCTGATAATAGTGACATTATACATGTAATACTAGACTATCTGATAATAGTGACATTATACAAAGTAATACCGGACTATCTGATAATAGTGACATTATACAAAGTAATACCGGACTATCTGATAATAGTGACATTATACAAAGTAATACTAGACTATCTGATAATAGTGACATTATACAAAGTAATACCGGACTATCTGATAATAGTGACATTATACAAAGTAATACCGGACTATCTGATAATAGTGACATTATACAAAGTAATACCGGACTATCTGATAATAGTGACATTATACAAAGTAATACCAGACAATATGTGAACAGTGACATTACAGCCTTATACCTATGTACTTACATGTCACTGATATTAAGTTACATAGTGATAAACATTTACTGACCGATGTCTTCACTAGCCACTCTGATTAGCCTACGTGCAATATACAAGGGATTTTCTCCACCTTCCAGCATCCTTGCCAGCCAATAGAGGGCAGCAGTGGCATCAGAGCCCCGTATAGACTTGTGCAGAGCAGAAATACAGTTGTAATGTTCCTCCCCAGCCCTATCATACAAGACATGTGACCTTTGCAGACCTTCCTTCACATCTGCAGAAGTCACAACTTGTTGTCCTCTCTGCTGACTAGAGGTCGAGTGACAGAAATTGTGAAATTGGCTATTGTGCTGACAGAGGCGGGATTGTAAGGCCATGTGGAGACTATTGAGGGCTGCTCTCGCGTCTCCGTCACATAAATTAGACAGGGTGGTCAGTGCCTGCTGCTCTACATACACACAATTCCTGTAAACACCACATAACAACGAAGTCATTATCTTGTAATATCATATATCTTAATTATCATTACTTTATTTTCTTTTGATGAACATTATTTTGATCTAGTATTTTTAAACAAAACAAAAGCTTCCAGTATGTTTTCCCATCCAAAATGTAATGCATGCTATTGTAATATTGTTGAATTACCAAATATTGTTTAAACAAAAGAGAAAATTAAAAAAAAGCATGTTTCTGATAATACACTAAATGTAACGAAATTTGTAAGAACTAAATCCTACTCTATCAGGTACACATGTCCTTTGTCTATACGTCACCATGCCAGCACATCAGTGTACATTTCAAGCTGAAGACATTTTAACATAAAGTACACAAATAATATTCAGAAGGCTATGCAGCATACGTTTTCAGCTGTAAATTGGGAAACTTTTGTTACAGTTTGATTTTTGCTGAATTTGAAGGTAGCGTTGATCCATAAAAATTAAATGAACAAATGACAAATAAAAAATAACAAAAGTTTTTCAACTTCAATGTAATATGTATGGCCGTGAACTTTTCTAATAAAAGTTCATGATTGTTTCCACTATGTACCACAGTTAATGAGTGTTATGTATACATACAGTTTATAACCTATCCAGAACACCTTACCATGTACATGTAGGAAAAAACTTGGCACACAATAAATTTTTTGGACTTGTCAAGGAAGAAAGCTATCTGTTTCTATCAAACCCATCACCAGAGTAGGGGTCAGGCTGATTTAAGGTCAGCACTGTTTCCTGATCATCCACACAGAAATGAAAGCATGGGTTCAATATTTATCACTGAAGTCATTAGTCCATTGTTACTACCCTTAAACCTCACTGTAAACTCTATCTGATCTTGTTGCCTATTTTTTACCATGATAAATTGGTATTGCTCACTTCACCTGTTCAAATCAAATTATTTGAGTTTTACACTCTGGGTGGTACACTTCACATGTAGTGCTACAATGTCCATTCAAAGTTTGTTGCCTAGAAATCCATATAAATGACACTTCATAATTAAAAACCAGACACACCAATTACCCATTTCTTCCCCAAAAAATTTACAATAATAACACCACATACAAAACCAACTTAATTTATGGCATTTCATATGTTTTGACCCATTACTTCCCACACAAAAACCCCCTCTGTTACACTTTTTAGCTTCGCCTTAAAAACCTGTAAAGTTAACAGCTGTAAAGTTAACAGCCATACTTGCTTGTCTGTTCTTCATCTGGACCACTACCATCTGGTAAGACAGCTCCACCAACAGCCAGTACAGCCTTGCTAAGTATATGCTGGAGGTCAGCGGGTTCAAGTTTATCCAGTGTGATAACACGACAACGACTCAGCAAGGCACCGTTCACCTGGAAGGAAGGGTTCTCAGTAGTGGCCCCGATCAGAATAATGGTTCCATCTTCCACATGGGGCAAAAGGGAGTCCTGAAATACCGAAGAAACTGACTAACAACGTAATCCTGAAATACCAAACAAACTGACTAACAACGTAATCCTGAAATACCAAACAAACTGACTAACAACGTAATCCTGAAATACCAAACAAACTGACTAACAACGTAATCCTGAAATACCAAACAAACTGACTAACAACGTAATCCTGAAATACCGAAGAAACTGACTAACAACGTAATCCTGAAATACCAAAGAAACTGACTAACAACGTAATCCTGAAATACCGAAGAAACTGACTAACAATGTAATCCTGAAATACCAAACAAACTGACTAACAACGTAATCCTGAAATACCGAAGAAACTGACTAACAATGTAATCCTGAAATACCAAACAAACTGACTAACAATGTAATCCTAAAATACCGAAGAAACTGACTAACAACGTAATCCTGAAATACCGAACAAACTGACTAACAACGTAATCCTGAAATACCGAACAACCTGACTAACAACGTAATCCTGAAATACCGAAGAAACTGGCTAACAACGTAATCCTAAAATACCGAAGAAACTGACTAACAACGTAATCCTGAAATACCAAACAAACTGACTAACAATGTAATCCTGAAATACCAAAGAAACTGACTAACAACGTAATCCTGAAATACCAAACAAACTGACTAACAATGTAATCCTGAAATACCAAACAAACTGACTAACAACGTAATCCTGAAATACCGAAGAAACTGACTAACAACGTAATCCTGAAATACTAAACAAACTGACTAACAACGTAGTCCTGAAATACTAAACAAACTGACTAACAACGTAATCCTGAAATACCGAACAAACTGACTAACAACGTAATCCTGAAATACCAAACAAACTGACTTACAATGTAATCCTGAAATACCAAACAAACTGACTAACAACGTAATCCTGAAATACCAAACAAACTAACAACGTAATGCAGAAGAAACCAGCAACATCTAACAAACCTCCTGTCTATTCAGAGTTTGACAGACTTGTTATGATTTATAGAATCATGTACGTAGATCTACACGGTCACCTTCATCAGACAAAGGACCAGTGTAGAGCGTACTAGAACTGACCTACGTAGTGTACAAGATCTTCACGGTCACCTTCATTAGACAAATGATTAGTGTGGAGCGTACAAGCACTGACGTACATAGTGTACTCAAATCTTCTAGTGATTGTTATGAGAAAATGTTCTGAAATACCTGTTGTGTTTTGTTGAACCGATGTATTTCATCCAGGAAGAGAATTGTCTTTTTCTTCAGCATCTTCTGGTCATTCCTTGCCATCTTGACCACCTCCTTGACATCATTGACCCCTGAAGTTGTCGCCGACAGCTGTACAAACTTTAAGGTGCTTCCAGCATTGCATTGCTGTGCAATTATCTTGGCCAGTGTTGTCTATAAATAGACCTAAATGTTACTTTACAGACAGTTAACAATTTGATATAATTGTACTGGGTCTAACATATGATATTTTGAGCCAAACAAACCAACTCCTTTAATGCTGACAATGTTTTTTTTTTTAGAGATTTCTCAAATTTATACCTATTATCACAGGTGCCAATCAATAATAGAGAATAAGGAAAACATAATTCTATGACCATGGAATCAAACTGAAGACATTTACATATTATACTCTATAGTTTTCCCAACTGAGCCAAAAGATGGCGTATCCGGGGATCCTAGTACTGTCATGTGCAAGTCAAAGCGAGCCCATTCCTTTTACACTAAAAATAAACCACTCGCAATCATAGTGATCTCATTGAGAAATATTCTATTTCTTTGTGCAATATGAAGCTGGAAGTGTTTGATACTCTTTAGTTTGCCTGTTGGTTCCCATGTTGTATACCTTGTTCTCATTTGAGAAAGTGAAATTACTTACTTGGCTTTACATGGCAGATGTTGTCAATGAAGCAGAAGACGTTTACTCTTCCAGAACATGGTCTTATTCTTCCTCTAAATCTTTCTTCTGTTCATGTTTTACCCTAGTTTTATTGTTTTTGAGTTTGGATTATGATGATGTTAACATGTTTGTATTTTGTAATTATTTTATAAACAATGTTGGGATGTTCTATGGCTATACAGTGAGGTTGATTGCACGTTACACATGTCTTATTTACCTTGCCACATCCTGGGGGTCCCCACAGTATTAGAGAGGGAATCTGATTCGTCTGTAACAATGATCGCAAAAGACTGTTCTTGCCTACTGCCTTATCTTGTCCTACGAAATCCTTTAGGCTCTTTGGGCGCATCTGCTCAGCCAGGGGCTTACTGGTAGCAGTTAGACCAATACTGATGATATCGTCATTTTTACCACTTGACCGATCACAACTCGGAGTTCCAGGCTTTTCAGTAACATGACAACGGGTAGTATTTGTTCCTGGAGACAAAGTACTGGTGTTTTCATCATTTTTAACCTGTGGGAGACCTTTACATGAGTTTGCTATTGTTACTCTCTGCTTTTTCAGTACTGGACTGGTATCTGATTTTTCTGTCACAGGCTTCAAACATCCCCATGCATTCGAGTCATTTGATTTTCGCTTTTTTGTTGCTGTCATTAGTGTCAAACTGTCACACGTCGTGTCATGTGCATTCGTGATGTTTAAACATGCATTTACATGAACGTCTATCTGCGATTGTTTAAAAGTTTTCTGACAAACAGGACATTCCACATATCCCTCCATCTCGCCCGAATCTTTCAGTCAACGGACGGAAAAAAAAAAAATGGTCGGACGTTTCAAGGGAGAGAACCCAAATATTTACATTTGGCTTCATTCGCGTAACCGGGGCCAATTGCTTGCGCGAAAGCGCCCTTATAGGGTCTCGTGCGCTTCTTTATTGCTCACAAAGATTAAAATATCTATGTGTATTGAAACAGATGCTTTTTATTGGAAAGACTTTAATCACAGTACTTGATCAATATAATACACTCTATATTATATTAACGACTATTCCGTATTTTATAATTCCCGCGGAAACAGACTTGTCTCCCTTTACTTTCCAAGATGGCGTCAACCGGTAAAGATGGAATTGACAAGAGCAACAAATATGATCGTCAGCTTAGGTAAAGTTCATCACTCGCCATTCTTAGTATAATATTTGCATAAAGAGTATAACAATCTACCCGAACACGATATAAAATCATAAGAAAACCCATTGGGTTCGAGAATTGATATGAACATGATACTTCAGTACTATGATTTTATGAATTTTTCTATAGACAAAAAATCCAATATCAGCAAGTTTAGTTACATTTTGTATGTATATAAAGTCTTGGTAAGGCCTCATTTGGAGTACGGGGCTTGCATTTGGAACCCTCATCATATCCAGGACATTAAACTTGTAGAGAGTGTACAAAGAAGGGCAACAAAGTTATTACCTAGAATGAAAAACATGTCATATGAGGAGCGTTTAAAACACCTAAAATTGTCATCACTGAAATACAGAAGGAACAGGGGCGATATGATTGAGGTGTACAAGGTACTTAGAGGCATCTATGATGAGGAGGGAGCAAAAGGTCTTCTGATGGTGAACCGGATGAAAAGAACTAGAGGTAATTCTCATTCACTGGAAAAGTCAATATCAAGGCTCAACATCCGGAAGAATTCCTTTACACAGAGAGTCGTAAACAACTGGAACTCCTTACCAGAAGTAGTGGTCCAAGCCCCATCCGTAAACTCGTTTGAAGCCAGGATGGATAGGTTTTGGAAAGTGGAAGACAGGATGTACACCGCAGCTTTTGGAAATACCGATATAACCAGTACTGCATCATCCAGAAGTGACTCCACACTAACATACGGACATGATTTGGATCTGAATATAGAGGCCTAATAGGCCTGCGTTCAGAATCGACTAAGTAAGAATTAGAACACATCTCCAGTAATAATCCCTTTCGGGACTCCTCCTTGGGACTAGTTTATTTCGTTTTACCAGGGATGTATTATACGTCCCTGGTTTTACAATGTCCCTTGTGCAACAACAGAACTTGTGAAACGATATGAACGAGTCCCAAGAATGAATTGCAAAGGAATTACTGGTACAGATAGCTCTTACCTCCACGAAACATGGCGCATTATTTTGGATATTCTGTATATTATGTCGAATCTAGACTTAAACAGTCTAAAACCGTAATATGAATATGCACAAAAAACAGCCAAAGTTAAAACTGACCACAGTGAACAAGTCGGGCACAATCCTTCAAATTCCAATACGAAATGAATTCTTAATTCCTTGTAAATTTACCTAACTTTGAAATTTCAAGAAATTGGGTATGGCATTAAAAAGTGTGGTATTTTATTTCAGACTGTGGGGTGATCATGGACAAGCTGCTCTTGAGTCATCCAGGGTTTGCCTTGTCAATGCTACAGCCACTGGTACAGAAATCCTGAAAAACCTCATTTTACCTGGTTTGTATATTCTGATAATTGTTTTTGCATTAAATATAGAGCAAAGAGATGTTCATATTGTATATCAAAGTTTATTACAAAGTCTTAATGCATTCAGATATACTAGATCTAATTAAGAATTTCTCAATTTGATTTTTAGTGAGTTTATATTTTGTTTTGGCTTTTGTACCGATCAAGATAATGTCATAGCATTTGAGTGATCTTATATTGTTAAAAGTCACATTTGTGAGGACAGAAATCCAAGTACATAATGCTGTGAACCAATTTATTTTCAAATAATTTCTTAATTTTTGCAGCTGAAGTTTCTTTGAGTTTTTCACTTCCTTGTGTTTGCTATCGGATCTAATCTCTGATAACAGGTTGTGAAGTTATCATGACCATGAATGCATGGTCAGATTTTGCAGCTGACTCATGAAAATAAATTGTTTTGCAAATAGTATTTGGTTTTCGGTAAAACAACAATTAAGACGAAGAGAACCTTGATTTAGAAATTTCATGAAGTTTTATTTCTACAGCAATTAATAACACAAAAAATCCACATTTGAGTTCAATAGACTTCAAGGCATTGTGACTATTTAACTTTGTATAATTTGATTCTTAGTTGAGTGAAACTTACAAAAGGACTGTGCATATTTGATTTAATCCAGGGATTGGTGCATTTACAATAGTTGATGGTTACAAAGTTCAAGGAGAAGATGTGGGAAACAAGTAAGTCCCTACAGACAGAATCTGACCTCAGATCTGGAGTGACTTTTCAGACTCAGATATTTAAGTTCTGGACTTATGATCTTCCTGTGGAACTCATCAAGTTTTTGGAGGTGATGTTCTGAACTCACCTGAAAAAAAAATAATACAAAAGTAAGGAGATCTGTGTACAAGTCTCCACAAGACATTGAAAATGAAAGACCCCTTCTTAATTACTTGTCAACCATGCAGTTTCTAAAATTGAGACGAAGTAAAAAAGAACAAAAAATCCACCTGAGTTCTTCTTGAACAAGTCTCTTCATAGTCCATACATTAAAGAAATAATCCACCACAGATCTGTGATAAAGCTCTACATGGCAAAAAAAGTAAAATTGAAAATTTGCTTTATTGTTGTCCAAGTTGATATAAGTCTACGGAAGTTTCCTGTCATAGTTCCAAATACTATTTAAAGATGATTTGATTGTTATCTTCATCACGACTGAACTGCTAAAAGTTTGATATATCTAAGATGGTTTCATGTCAAGGGTCAAGTGGAACAAATCTAAGATGATGCTAGTTAAGGGCTAACATTTCTGGATGACTTTGTCTATGGTCTTGGATAATTTAGATATTTAAGCATTTTTTTGTCTTTTAGAGTTCATAGGTCAATTAAGATAAAAATAATCTTCAACATGCAAATTTAAAGGTCTGCCAATAAGCGTACATATAATTATTAAATACACAACAAGAGCTACATACCCTGGTATGCATTGAATGTAAATGATCTTACCACGTCCTTTGTTTTATCTTACAGTTTCTTCCTCACCAAAGATTCCCTAGGCGAGGTAATGTAGTTTTTGTTAATCATTAAAGCAAAACAATACTACATTTAATTTAGATATTTTAATGACTGAATTTCCTTACTGATTGCTGTTGCAATGTTTAATAGTTCGTTTCCATTAATTTATCTGAAAATTTCCCAACATTCTTTATTTGTTCACAAAAATGTTATGAAAAATTAAAGTTTAATAAAAGTATTTATAAATGTTTTGTCCACAGTCACGGGCTAAGGTAGCTACAGAACTGTTGGGAGAGCTGAATCCTGATGTTACCGGGGACTTTGTAGAAGAAGTAAGAAATTGATCCTATCATATGTTCATTGTATACCATGGATATGTTTATGATACTGTACTGTCTGTGTGGAGAAACTAAAGTGCTTTATTACAAATTTACTGCTTATTGAACTATAATCACTCTCCTACAATTCCAGAAAATGTTTCTCCCCTACAACAAAGCCAGGGTTTGAGGAGAACTTGTGATTCACAGTCAGAGGATGAGCTAGCTCTATTAATGAACAATGAACTAAGATTTATAGTTGTCAGTTCTTCAGAGCTACTTTTAGATATAGGAGGAATTATTACCAGAATTATTGCCTGATAAAATAGTTGTGGATTAGGGTATTTTGTGACACTGTGTTAGAAATTGGTGCAGGCTTTGTTTCTAATGTGTTTGCTCTCTGATTGTATGAATTGTCCTGACATATTTATAGAATATTACAGTAACATTTACCTAACTCACTCTCTTTGATCAAAAGTTAGAGAATTTTCTAGACCATCTTCAGATTTCTGTAGAGCCAACTTTTGCAAGGAAAATTCATTTATGAAACAAAACCCTAACCCTAACCCTACCATGAATGATCTATTTGTGTCCAAAATGGTTATTTAATCAGCTGTCACTGTTCAGTATAGACTTGTCTGACTTCACAAAGAAAGAAAATTATAAGATGGAGAATGTTGTTATCTTACTGTTCAGGTTTTGGTAATGATATTGAGGAACACCTATGATATGTTTGAAAGGAAAAAATATGTTTATAATTTATAAAACTTTTCTATTCAAAGCATCCAGAAAAGCTTCTACAGTCTGATCCTAGCTTCTTCAACACTTTTACCATGGTAATAGCTACAAACATGTGTGAAAGGTAAAGAACTTGTTGTAACCAATCAACTGTTATTATTATAATTGAAGTGTAATAAAAATCAAAGGGAGATAATTTTGAAGTGATGTGTTATATTCTATATTTAAGAAAAGTTACCTTGTTGAATGAATACTTATCAGCTGTATTAATAAATATCTCACAATATACAGAGAAAATTGAAAATCATTTTTGACTCAAAAGAAGGGGGACGCCTGAGTGTATTACAGGAAAATGAAAAGACTTTTATTGGCACTGAACTGAAATGGTCAAAAAGGAGTATATTACTGTGAATCAGTGATATATTTTTGTAGAGATGAATCTGTACTTAATAACAAGAAAATTTGTTTGTTGGTATTTCGAATGTTGAATATACTTAAAGGCATAAAATTTACTGTGAATTTTCATTTGAGTGAATTCTCTGTAATATTTATTAACAGGACTTTACTACAACTGAGTAAGCAGCTGTGGACTAGTAACATTCCACTCCTTGTGTGTCGTTGTTATGGGTTTATTGGCTACATGAGACTGGCAGTACAGGAACACACAGGTGAAGTATGATATACTGAGAGTACAGGAACACACAGGTGAAGTATGATATACTGGCAGTACAGGAACACACAGGTGAAGTATGATATACTGGCAGTACAGGAACACACAGGTGAAGTATGATATACTGGCAGTACAGGAACACACAGGTGAAGTATGATATACTGACAGTACAGGAACACACAGGTGAAGTATGATATACTGACAGTACAGGAACACACAGGTGAAGTATGATATACTGACAGTACAGGAACACACAGGTGAAGTATGATATACTGGCAGTACAGGAACACACAGGTGAAGTATGATATACTGACAGTACAGGAACACACAGGTGAAGTATGATATACTGACAGTACAGGAACACACAGGTGAAGTATGATATACTGGCAGTACAGGAACACACAGATGAAGTATGATATACTGACAGAACAGGAACACACAGGTGAAGTATGATATACTGGCAGTACAGGAACACACAGGTGAAGTATGATATACTGACAGTACAGGAACACACAGGTGAAGTATGATATACTGACAGTACAGGAACACACAGGTGAAGTATGATATACTGGCAGTACAGGAACACACAGGTGAAGTATGATATACTGACAGTACAGGAACACACAGGTGAAGTATGATATACTGGCAGTACAGGAACACACAGGTGAAGTATGATATACTGGCAGTACAGGAACACACAGGTGAAGTATGATATACTGACAGTACAGGAACACACAGGTGAAGTATGATATACTGACAGTACAGGAACACACAGGTGAAGTATGATATACTGACAGTACAGGAACACACAGGTGAAGTATGATATACTGACAGTACAGGATCACACAGGTGAAGTATGATATACTGACAGTACAGGAACACACAGGTGAAGTATGATATACTGACAGTACAGGAACACACAGGTGAAGTATGATATACTGACAGTACAGGAACACACAAGTGAAGTATAATATACTGACAGTACAGGAACACACAGGTGAAGTATAATATACCAGCAGGTGCTTAGGTGGTGACCATTATGTAATATTTAGTATTGACATTGACCTCTGTTTTATGTTGACCTTTGACCTTTGTGTTTCAGTGATAGAGTCTCACCCTGACAGCACCCATGAGGACCTGAGGTTAGATAAGCAGTTTGATGGACTGGTTACATACTGTAATTCACTTGACCTTGAGACAATGAATAAAAAGGTACGGCTGATTAAAATGGTTTATAATACCAAGTTTCCATTTCCCCATTGTGTGATCTTCTGATTGAGTATCACCTGTTGTGAGATCCCATTGCATTAACTTCTAATCATTTGATTCAGAAAAGGATTTTTCCTTGTCATATTTATTTATATGTTTTGAGAATATAAATGATTAATCAGCCTGCAATTTTGATAATGATATTTTTCTTTTGGTACAGGACCACTCCCATACACCATGGCTGGTCATCCTGTATAAGTATCTACAGGTGTGGAAACAACAGGTAAGGCTGCTACATTGTTACAGTCTGATCTCCCATGGAAACAACAGGTAAGGCTGCTACAGTGTTACAATCTTATCTCCCATGGAAACAACAGGTAAGGCTGCTACAGTGTTACAATATGATCTCCCATGGAAACAACAGGTAAGGCTGCTACAGTGTTACAATCTGATCTCCCATGGAAACAACAGGTAAGGCTGCTACAGTGTTACAATCTTATCTCCCATGGAAACAACAGGTAAGGCTGCTACAGTGTTACAATATGATCTCCCATGGAAACAACAGGTAAGGCTGCTACAGTGTTACAATCTGATCTCCCATGGAAACAACAGGTAAGGCTGCTACAGTGTTACAATCTGATCTCCCATGGAAACAACAGGTAAGGCTGCTACAGTGTTACAATCTGATCTCCCATGGAAACAACAGGTAAGACTGCTACAGTGTTACAGTCTGATCTCCCATGGAAACAACAGGTAAGGCTGCTACAGTGTTACAATATGATCTCCAATGGAAACAACAGGTAAGGCTGCTACAGTGTTACAATCTGATCTCCCATGGAAACAACAGGTAAGGCTGCTACAGTGTTACAGTCTGATCTCCCATGGAAACAACAGGTATGGCTGCTACAGTGCTACAGTCTGATTTCCAATGGAAACAACAGGTAAGGCTGCTACAGTGTTACAATCTGATCTTCCATGGAAACAACAGGTAAGGCTGCTACAGTGTTACAATATGATCTCCCATGGAAACAACAGGTATGGCTGCTACAGTGCTACAATATTATATTATATTTACAGCAACCAACCGTTATTTGTTTCAAACTTTATCTACATGTAAAATGTTGACAGTTTGTTGGTATGCATGTATTGATTTTTTATGAGTTGTAATTCATTTCTTTCTTCTCCTTAAAAACCTTGAAACCAACTTACATGTATCTGTATCTGAGGAAGAAATGTCACACATTTCTAACAAGTTCAAAAATCACTGATTTAATACCATCAGCAAAATTAAAAACCTGGTTTAATTACTGCCAAAGAAATCTGGATAAATACCTGTGAAGAAGTTCACTCTAATGTAGCATAATCCTGGTAGGATAAAAAGCTCAGTAAATACTGATCTAGCATTACCATTTTCTAAACATTCTTTTTTTTAAAGTGTCAGTGTCTCGGTACTTTCTCTACTTTGATAGATCGCTATTACTTGAAGTAGTGGATGGATCATTCTAAAATTTCATACCCCAGTTCCTCTTTCATCTCTGGTTGTCAGTTTCCTTTGATTTATTTACTTATAAATAATACAAATTATCAAGACAAAGTAAGAGAAAAGAAAAAGGAGAAAGTATCTGAATCATAGATTTTTGAATAACATTGATTTACAATTGATCAATTTTCAATGTCAAAAGGTGGAATGTGTTGCAACCTTTCACAAGGTCGCTCCTGAAGATCTTAATGTTCAAAGTAATGTATTAGTCTGACATGGTATGCAATGTAGAAGGGATATAGTATTTGTTAAAGTGACTGGCTTTTTCCTTGTTCAAGTTCATCAATATTATATAAAATTTTATCTTTGAATTTTCTTACAGCACAATGGTGAACCTCCTAAAAACTACAAGGAAAAGACACAGTTTAAAGAACTTATCAAGCAAGGTATGTGAACAAATGTATTGCCCATTTCACTGAATCGCTTCCATTAAAGAGTTATCTCCCATTACACATTTATCTAACATTACACAGTTTCACAATTACATGGAGACATCTCCCATTACACACTTATCTACCATTACGGAATTACCTCACATAACACAGTTTTCTCCCATTCGGAACTTGTTGCCTCAATTATCAAAGGCTTTGATGTATGAAGTGGATGAATATGCATCAAATTTGTGCATTTCTCCGGAGGAAACTACTGTATTACGTAGTTTTTAAAACTGACTTTTTGTATCAAATGGATGGATTCCCAAAATAACTGAAGTGTAAGAAGATATGTTGTATCATATTATACTGACTACCAAATGATTATACTATGCACAGTATTGTATACACCGATCGATGCTACGCCTCTTGTTCACATCGTTATTAGCACACATACATGTACATTTGTACAATACAACATCAACATGTTTTCTTATTGTTTTAAATATAGAGCATGTTCTTAGATTTATACAGTATGCTACGGACATTGATTGTGCTTCTTTGAAAATCATTCAAAATAAATTTAAGGCAGTTAAAAGCAATAATCACCTGTTTGTTTATATATGATCGTCATTTTCATCTCTGACAAATATTTATGGCTGCTGCTGAAAATGATGAATTTGATGAGTGAAAAGCTCCTATGAAACAGTCTGGTCATTGTTGATGTATACTTTTTTCATTATATATCAAATTTTACAATGTGTATAAAATAATTAAGATATGACATTTTTTAGATAAAAAGGTAAAGAATCTGCCTCTATATATTACCCCTATGAATCCTTTTACCTGGTACATGTAGAAGAGGAGATAAAAAGGGAGATAATTTATTTGAGTCCAAATCTAATATAGGTATAGTTTGTAATGTTTAACAATTCCTGACATTTAAAACCTTTCAATTTTAACAATTACAAGTACATGTATCATTCTGATGTAAAGATGAAAGTGAATGATTACATAGTCTTACCAAAACACTGTATGGTTTCTGTCATACCAAAACACGACATCGTTTCTGTCTTACCAAAACACTATATCATGTCTGTCTTACCAAAACACTATATCGTTTCTGTCTTACCAAAACACTACATCGTTACTGTCTTACCAAAACACTAAAACACTACATCGTTTCTGTTTTACCAAAACACTATATCGTTCTGTCTTACCAAAACACTACATCGTTTCTGTCTTATCAAAACACTGTATGGTTTCTGTCTTACCAAAACACTACATCGTTTCTGTCTTATCAAAACACTACATCGTTTCTGTCTTACCAAAACACTACATCGTTTCTGTCTTACCAAAACACTGCATCGTTTGTGTCTTACCAAAACACTACATCGTTTCTGTCTTACCAAAACACTACATCGTTTCTGTCTTACCAAAACACTAAAACACTACATCGTTTCTGTCTTATCAAAACACTACATCGTTTCTGTCTTACCAAATCAATACATCATTTCAGTCTTATCAAAACACTGCATATGTCTGTCTTACCAAAACACTGCATCATTTCTGTCTTACCAAAACACTGTATCGTTTGTGTCTGACCAAAACACTACATCATTTTTGTCTTACCAAAACACTGCATATTTCTGTCTTACCAAAACACTGCATATTTCTGTCGTACCAAAACACTGCATATTTCTGTCTTACCAAAATGCTGCATCGTTTCTGTCTTACCAAAACACTACATCGTTACTGTCTTACCAAAACACTAAAACACTACATCGTTTCTGTTTTACCAAAACACTATATCGTTCTGTCTTACCAAAATACTACATCGTTTCTGTCTTATCAAAACACTGTATGGTTTCTGTCTTACCAAAACACTACATCGTTTCTGTCTTATCAAAACACTACATCGTTTCTGTCTTACCAAAACACTACATCGTTTCTGTCTTACCAAAACACTGCATCGTTTCTGTCTTACCAAAACACTACATCGTTTCTGTCTTACCAAAACACTAAAACACTACATCGTTTCTGTCTTATCAAAACACTACATCGTTTCTGTCTTACCAAATCAATACATCATTTCAGTCTTATCAAAACACTGCATATGTCTGTCTTACCAAAACACTGCATCATTTCTGTCTTACCAAAACACTGTATCGTTTGTGTCTTATCAAAACACTGCATCATTTCCGTCTTACCAAAACACTGCATGTTTCTGTCGTACCAAAACACTGCATATTTCTGTCTTACCAAAACACTGCATATTTCTGTCGTACCAAAACACTGCATATTTCTGTCTTACCAAAATGCTGCATCGTTTCTGTCTTACCAAAACACTACATCGTTTCTGTCTCATCAAAACACTACATCGTTTCTGTCTTTCTAAAAAACTACATCGTTTCTGTCTTTCTAAAACACTACATTGTTTCTGTCTTACCAAAACACTACATCGTTTTTGTTAGATTCAGGAAGTGTTTCATTGGACATTCAGACTCTAATACAAATGAATGAACTCCTCACTCTCAATTATAGGTGGCATTTTAAAATGTTCTGTAGTATGGGATGGCTAGTTTTCACCAATGGATTTTTTTCCCTCATTAGAATTCTTATTTTGGTTGCCTAAAAGCTAAGATCTCTCCTGACTGTGACAGATATGTCTCAATGTGGAGCTCCTTCCCAGCATTGTTACACTAGGACAGGATTTTACAATCGTCTGACTTATGATCAGTTCATCATTCTTGACAGTTTTTGTTGAGTTTGTCCTTTTTTAACATTGATTTACTGCTAACTGCAGTTTGGATTTAGCTGTAGACCATGTACTTTAATAAAATTAAACATTTCATGCATGTTTTCAAGTGTTATATTACATGTCTGAGTCAGATATAGTGTTATGTTTGAGTTTACAGGTAATGATCCAGTGGCATATAAACATTCCATTTTATATCAGAAATCGAAAATTTCATCAAATCACAATTTATTTAGGCCATAAATATAATTTCATATATCTTAAATATTCTCTCTTGAATATACATGTACATGTATATGTAAACTATTCCAGTGAATATTCATCACAAAAATTTTAACACAAGTAAAGATTGCATCTAAATAAACAAAGACTCAAACTAAAAGAGAATTAACTATTTTGAATCTTAATCCAGCTAAGATTTTCTAGTCAGCTTATGTATTTGAGAGTGTATGTGTTTTTTAATGTCACCTGTTCTATTGTTCCTGGATGGAAGATTTTATATAGGAGAACTCAAATCCTGAGTGAAATTTCTTTTAATTCAAACTTGGTTAGAAACCTTAGCATGGGACAGCAGTTAATGTATACACAATTTACTTTTGCATAATGTGTACAATATAGTTAGTTGTTTTTGTTTTTTAACAAAATAATTTCCATCACAAATAACAAGAACTGTTGTGACTCAGGTGACTGTGTAGGTTCATAGGCCTCTTGTATAATAGCCAATAACTTCTTTGATCTAATAGTTCTTCGGAGCTAATGAGTTATGTTGTTTGTATACAACGACATATTGACAGATCTACTTAACTGCAAATAATGAACTTTTAATAATTTTTATCTTTATTCCAAGATCTACAAATGTATCTAGAATGCATTGAAACATTACGTAACAATTGAAACAAATAGATTATACTTCATATGTACTCACTTTGATATTCAACAAGGCATTTCTTATATTGTTATTAAGGCCTGGATTTTTGTGTGTATTGTTTACGTTCTAGGTTCCTGTATTCAAACTTAGTGTACAGTACTTTTAGAAAATCGAGGTCATTGTCAGTACTAATAAAATGAGGGATGAACATTTCATAATTCATTCATATATGAACAAGCAAGGATTTTGTAGCTTAGAAAAGGCAGCTCCATGGAGAGCAAATCAGGATTTTCTTACAGGCATGCCTCTAAGTCCATTTAACATGTAGCTTTTATGTCACTGTTACAGAAATTTAGACACTTCATGAAATACACACACGTCTTTACAGATGTGACCATTGTTACAGACACTGCCATTATCAACTGATTACCTTATTTAAAATTTTATGGCACAGTTCAGTATAAACATCAACTTGTTAATTTAATACAGAATGAGATGTTTTACAACTTATTCAGTATGTCTAAAGCATGACAACCATGGATTTTTAAATATATAGAGAGAGAGTAGGATAACGATGGAGCGAGTGACCAACTTGAAAGTAGTTCCCCAAAATGGAAACTACCTCCATACATCCAGTAGATGGTTATCTTAAATTACAAAGTTATTGTCTATGGTAAAACAGAGTTATTTCCCATTACACAGTTATTACTACCAGTCCTATTGCTTCCTATGATAGTTCATTAGAATAATTAATGTAAATTAATTGCATATCAATGAATTAAACATCCTGTCTTCTAAAAATGGTTTTATTTGTCTTTATTTCATTTCAAAGCTGAAAAGCCATGTTATGTAATGTTTTTAATAAAATCTTTGTTCATGTGTTCTTTATAGAAATCATAGCATCAGTAGGGTTAAAGGAAGGCTGATGATTTTGTTTTCTTGTCAGGCATACGTAAGAATGAAGACGGGTTTCCTGAGGTAGAAGAAAATTTTGATGAGGCAGTAAAAAGTGTCAACATCGCCTTAGTCCCTACCAAGATCTCAAGCAATGTGGAGAGCCTTTTTGAAGATTCCTGCTGTAAGGAGTTACATTCAGATGTAAGAAACTTTTGTGAAACTCCTTCTCTACCTCACCAGATGTTAATCAGTGATGTTGGTCTTAATGATGAATTGCATGGTGCATTGTAATATCAGTATTCATGCTGGATGTGTTGTTGTGTATTGTGTGTATATGATAGAAGAATTAACAGCTAGATTATTTCTTTATTTTTCAGAGTAAACAATTTTGGATTTTGGTGCGTGCCATCAAAGAATTTGTGGAAGAGGAAGGTGAATATACAGGCATCAGGCATTTTGAAATTCTTTTGAAGATAATTCTCAGTAACTAAAAATTGACTTTGAACTATTCACAAATACCAATGTTACACTATCACCTGAAAGTCTCTGTTTACATTTTACATTCATTTAATAAAAAGAAGCTTGTTAAAGCTATGCTCTACATTTAATCAATTCTGGAAAAGTATTTGGAATTGCCAATCTGGTTGTAGGAGCTCTCCCACTGCGAGGTACCATCCCTGATATGACAGCCGACTCCGAGCGCTACATCCAGCTCCAGCAAGTGTATAGAGACCAGGCGGCACATGATGTTTCTGTAGTAACCAACAAAGTTCACAACCTGGTGCAGACTTTAGGACGGGTAGGTATCCAGCCCAGTCTGGAAGTCAGATAAATTAACATATAGGCCATATGATGAGTTGTCTGTCTTCCTCATGATTCAGATCTGTCCTTTGTCACTGCTTGCTTCACCTATTCCTGTTTCAGTGTTTTTAATTTTCAGACCTTATATATTTCTTTTTAGAAATATTACAACTCTTACTGATTTTAGTATAGCCATTGTAACCTAGCAGCAAACTATCTGATACTAAATATATCAACCTGACTTCAAAATAGGGGAATAAGATATCCTACAGACACAGTATATAAACCTGGTGTTATAAAGAGGGAGATAAGACATCCTACAGACACAGTATATAAACCTGGTGTTATAAAGAGGGAGACAAGATATCCTACAGACACATTATATAAACCTGGTGTTATAAAGAGGGAGATAAGACATCCTACAGACACAGTATATAAACCTGGTGTTATAAAGAGGGAGATAAGACATCCTACAGACACAGTATATAAACCTGGTGTTATAAAGAGGGAGATTAGACATCCTACAGACACAGTATATAAACCTGGTGTTATAAAGAGGGAGATAAGACATCCTACAGACACAGTATATAAACCTGGTGTTATAAAGAGGGAGATAATATATCCTGCAGACACAGTATATAAACCTGGTGTTATAAAGAGGGAGATAAGACATCCTACAGACACAGTATATAAACCTGGTGTTATAAAAAGGGAGATAAGATATCCAACAGACACAGTATATAAACCTGGTGTTATAAAGAGGGAGATTAGATATCCAACAGACACAGTATATAAACCTGGTGTTATAAAGAGGGAGATAAGTACAGACACAGTATATAAACCTGGTGTTATAAAAAGGGAGATAAGATATCCTACAGACACAGTATATAAACCTGGTGTTATAAAGAGGGAGACAAGATATCCTACAGACACAGTATATAAACCTGGTGTTATAAAGAGGGAGATCAGATATCCTACAGACACATTATATAAACCTGGTGTTATAAAGAGGGAGATAAGTACAGACACAGTATATAAACCTGGTGTTATAAAGAGGGAGATCAGATATCCTACAGACACAGTATATAAACCTGGTGTTATAAAGAGGGAGATCAGATATCCTACAGACACCATATATAAACCTGGTATTATAAAGATGGAGATAAGATATCCTACAGACACAGTATATAAACCTGGTGTTATAAAGAGGGAGATCAGATATCCTACAGACACAGTATATAAACCTGGTATTATAAAGAGGGAGATCAGTTATCCTACAGACACAGTATATAAACCTGGTGTTATAAAGAGGGAGATCAGATATCCTACAGACACCATATATAAACCTGGTGTTATAAAGAGGGAGATCAGATATCCTACAGACACAGTATATAAACCTGGTGTTATAAAGAGGGAGATCAGATATCCTACAGCTATTACACTTTCCCTACATGTCTGCTTTCTCTAAAACATTGTCATACATTCATCATTATTTCTCTGGTGAGAGGTTCTCACTAATTATGTATGTATCTCTTCCAATGTGAATTTTAAAGCCTGCAATGTGAGGGACCAACTTTCATGTATGCGGATATTATCCATGGGTTTTTAGCTCACCAGACTCTAAGGGCCAAGTGAAGTAAATTGATACTGTGGCATTCTTCTTCCGTTGTCTGCTGTCCATCCGTCTTTTAGTCGTTAGTCATCTGTCGTCTGTCAACTTTTTCTACAACTTGCAACTAGTCATGAATGAGTAAGGTGATTTGAAATGGAACATTTTTTTGTATAAATTGTGGGTTCAAGCCCCCACAGCCTGAGGGGCGAGGCCCAAAAGGGGAAATTTGGCAAGTGCTTTAAAATCCTACTCCTCCTGTAGTGTTGGGTGATAAAGAATCAATTTCATATAAATGGTGAATCTCGGCCTCCTGGGGGTAGAGAGAAATAGAGCAAATACTTTAAAATCCTACCCCTCCAGTAGTAATGATTTGTTTTTGTCCATATTGGTCTGATTCAAGTTTATGTGGTAGGGAATCAGTTTTTGTATAAATGGTGGATCTTGGCCCTGAGGGACAGGAGGGAAATGGCTCATTAGGGAAATGTGTTTTTGAAAACAGTTTAGATCCCCACCCTGTATAAGCATTTCTAAGGCTCATTTTGTGGACTTACATTGTACGTTACGTCTTGTCAAGTTGTAACATGAAAATGACGAGGAAAAGTCAACATAATTAACTACCAGTCTGTGTGGTTAACCTCCACCTGATCTATCTTAGTCAATGCTTAAACTTTTGTTTGAATGGAAAAGGGGTTTTAATGTACTTTCTACTAAGCTAACTATAATGTTCAAGACCTTGACCTTGAAATTGTTACTTTCTGTATTGAATGATTGGGACTATTTGAAAGACCTTCAGTGAATTGCAGAATATTTAATTTTGATAATGACATATAAATTATTTTTACTTAATGACTTTACTTAATACCCTGACTAGATACAGAAAAGGAACTATCAACATCTTTAATATAAACTTTATTTATTTTACAACAATTGCGAAACAAGTTATGTCAACTTATACTAATCACTCTTGTTGGCCCGGATGTAAGCGCGCGAGGGGTCTTATTGTGGGAGGAAACCGGAGTACCCGGGGAAAACCCACGTGGTCCGGCAGGTGGCCCCTTACCTTTTCACGTCCGTTCCGGGAATCGAACCCCGGTCGGCTTGGTGAAAGGCGAGTGCGTTAACACTGCGCCACCGGACCACCCTATCAACATCTTTGAACAACATGATACTGTTGATAATTCCACTCATGTCATGTATGCATTAGAGAACAACTGTGCAATCGAGGAAAATGTGAATGATTTTCTATTGATTTCACATATTTCGTGCATTGCATGTCATGGAATTTCACACAGAGCTTGACAGAAACTTAACAGAAAATCTGTGTGGTACTGGCCTCGCGGACATTTGACTTGTAAATGTACATTGTACATGTAAAGCAAGGAAACATCGTAACCGTGTGACAGTTAATACTACTGTAAAAAAGCAATCCCTGTCGCCTGTCATCGTGGCGATGTCCCGATAGACTGATGTACACATGCCAACCATGTAAGGACATCACTGCCTGTCATCATGGCGATGTCCAGATAGACTGATGTACACATGCCAACCATGTAACGACATCACTGCCTGTCATCGTGGCGATGTTACGATAGACTGATGTACACATGCCAACCATGTAAGGACATCACTGCCTGTCATCAGGGCGATGTCCCAATAGACTGATGTACACATGCCAACCATGTAAGGACATCACTGCCTGTCATCGTGGCGTTGTCCCAATAGACTGATGTACACATGCCAACCATGTAAGGAGATCACTGCCTGTCATCGTGGCGATGTCCCAATAGACTGATGTTCACATGCCAACCATGTAAGGACATCACTGCCAGTCATCGCGACGATGTCCTGATGGACTGATGTACACATGTTTGAACCATGCAGTTACTTTTTCCCTGTCACTTGTGTTTCCCTCAATGTTACGACAGCTGGATCTACCAATATATCTCGCAGACCTGCTGCAATCCCCCTGCAATTCTGCCATAGCTATGAGTGACAGGTAAGCAATAGGTCGCTTCAGCATGGTTTGAGAGCCAAATGACCCCAACTGTACTGTATTTTGTTACCTGCACACTTTCACATGAGCATCAATTTCTTTATCATCTCAATAATCCAACCTTGTTTTATGCCAGTTGTTTCCATACTTTTTTACATTGGTTAGATTCGCTTTGACCTGTACTGTTGGATTTGAAATTGTACTCATTTTACTCAACATTCATTGAGTTTTCAAAGAGAATTTTTCAAAAATATTTATGTGGAGGTGATAGGTATATATTGAAATATTTGCCTGTGATTTGTAAGTGATATGAAATCATTGCTGTTTGCCAAATTATTTAAGGTCATCTGTCGTATTGACCGAAAGGGTCAAAATGACCTATTCCTATTGTGTATCGTTCATTGTTGTGCACATTTACTGTCCGTAAACGTTTGCTTCAAAACACTACTGTTGCTTAATGCCTAGGTAGATTTCAATCAAATTTCATGTGAAACACTATCTTTAAATTGATATCAGACAATATCAACAGGGAAAAAGGCTTGGGGACTCAATTCTCAGTCTCTAAATTGATAGATGACAGGGGAAGAGAGGGGGACACTTTCATTTCTTAGTATTATTTTAAGCCCACCATCATCAGATGGTGGCTATTCAAATTGCTCTGCATCTGTGGTCCGTCAGTCGGTCCATCCATCGGTCTGTAAGAGAAGTACTGAATGGATCTTTCTCAAATTGCAAGAGTAGGTTCCCCTTTGTCCCTAGTTGTGCCTGTTTGATTTTGGACTGATAAAAAAAATACAAATGGTTGACAGGCAGCCATCTTGGATTTTTTCAGTGAAGTTTGTGATCGTTATCTTGAGAACTGTTCTATAGATCTTTCTCAAATTTCATTTATAGGTCCCTATCTGTGCCTGTTTACTTTGGCATTTGGCAGGCAAAGATTATCATTGCTATTTCTGCAAAGGAATGGTCAAATGTCTTATCTTAAGATCAAAAACAGGAGAAGAAGGCAAAAGATCCAACTTTTAAGAGCCAATAAAGATCAAACAATGGTGGGCGCCAAGATCCCTCTTGGATCTTTTGTAATTGATATTGGACAATATCAACAGGAGAGGAGAGTGGGGGACTCATTTCTGAGTCTCTGAATGGATAGCTGACAACATTTACAGGGAGAGAGGGGGGTACTCAGTCATTTCTGAGTCTCTGAAATGATATCAGACAATACCAACAGGAAAAGTGAAGGGACATTCTTATTTCTGAGTCTCTCAACTAATAACTGAGAATATCAACAGGGGAAGAGGGTGGGACACCCTCATTTCTTTGTCTTTTATTTGGTAATCACTGACAATATTTATTGATAAAAAGGATATGTCTTCATTTCAAAGTACATCTCTAAAGTGAAAGTATTTGACATAAGTTATAGAAAAATAATGGCATAAACATATGTGATTATACACTAACTTATAATGCGTGTAGACATATTAGTGTAGGAGTTAGGTGTCCCTTCATTATACTTATTGATCAAAAGCCTTTTGCCTTGGTTAGATTTTGATGTTTTCTGTTTTGTTCTTTCTAGGGTGGGCCTACCAACATCGCTCCACCACCAGAGTCACCAACTGTATGCTTACATTAATCACCCTACGTCTTGCTTCCTGCTTTGTTCTGATATACCTGTTGCCCCGTTTTTCAGTATTCAGTTTATAATTTGTTTCTGTTTTTATTAACTGGTTTTAGTTGTTTGATATACAGAATTTATATTGGAAAAATGTGTATTATATCTACAGCATATAGTCAAACATTGTAACATCTACAGAAAGAAATATTGCATTCAAATAAGCTATATCTACAGAAAATAGTTATTGCATTGTAATAAAGTGAATATTATAGTTATCACAATATTATATCATTAGAATACAGTTTTTATAACATTATTATATATACAGAATAGAGAAGTTATAACATTATTATATCTACAGAATAGACAAGTTATAACGTTATATCTACAGAATAGACAAGTTATAACATATTATATCTACAGAATAGACAAGTTATAACATATTATATCTACAGAATAGACAAGTTATAATGTTATATCTACAGAATAGACAAGTTATAACATATTATATCTACAGAATAGACAAGTTATAACATTATTATATATACAGAATATAGAAGTTATAACATTATTATATCTACAGAATAGACAAGTTATAACGTTATATCTACAGAATAGACAAGTTATAACATATTATATCTACAGAATAGACAAGTTATAACATTATATCTACAGAATAGAGAAGTTATAACATATTATGTCTACAGAATAGAGAAGTTATAACATTATTATATATACAGAATAGAGAAGTTATAACATTATTATATATACAGAATAGAGAAGTTATAACATTATTATATATACAGAATAGAGAAGTTATAACATTATTATATATACAGAATAGAGAAGTTATAACATTATATATATACAGAATAGAGAAGTTATAACATTATTATATATACAGAATAGAGAAGTTATAACATTATTATATATACAGAATAGAGAAGTTATAACATTATTATATATACAGAATAGAGAAGTTATAACATTATATATATACAGAATAGAGAAGTTATAACATTATTATATATACAGAATAGAGAAGTTATAACATTATATCTACAGAATAGAGAAGTTATAACATTATTATATATACAGAATAGACAAGTTATAAAATTATTATATATACAGAATATAGAAGTTATAACATATTATATCTACAGAATAGAGAAGTTATAACATATTATATCTAACATTATTATATATACAGAATATACAAGTTATAACATTATTATATATACAGAATAGAGAAGTTATAACATTATATCTACAGAATAGAGAAGTTATAACATTATTATATATACAGAATAGACAAGTTATAAAATTATTATATATACAGAATATAGAAGTTATAACATATTATATCTACAGAATAGACAAGTTATAACATATTATATCTACAGAATAGACAAGTTATAACATTATTATATCTACAGAATAGAGATGTTATAACATATTATATCTACAGAATAGACAAGTTATAACATTATATCTACAGAATAGACAAGTTATAACATATTATATCTACAGAATAGAGAAGTTATAACATGATATCTACAGAATAGACAAGTTATAACATATTATATCTACAGAATAGAGAAGTTATAGGAGAAATGCAAAGAAATAATGAAGGGATACGAGGAAAGAATCAAAAGCCTAGAAACAAAATTGACAAGAAAATGTGAAGAGGACCAAGTGAGGAAAATAGTAAAGGAGTAGCTTGCCCGCTCAGAAGTTAAACCCGGGGAACAAACAAGTCAGGACAATACAACAAAATCCAGCACAGAAACTCAGGAGGTTATATCTGAAATAAACGAGAGGAAAAAGAGAGAGAACAATATCATAATTTACGGCTATACAGAACAGGAAGGAAGAGATGGAAAATTCCGCCAAGCAGCTGATGAGCTATTCGTAAAACAGCTTCTAACTTCATGTAGTGTCCGAACAAACGATGCTGCAATTAATAAGGTATTTCGACTAGGAAAGTACCAAAAGGTACAACCGAACAATGCTGCAGGCAATGCACCAAAATCTGGAAGACCTATACTGGTATCGTTTGGATCACCTGAAGTGAAAAAGAATCTTTTTACGAACATCACAGAACTTCGGAATACAAACGAATATAAAAACATTAGGATCAGCAATGATCTGACAAAAGCGGAACGGGAAAACGAAAAGCGACTAAAAGAAGAAGCAAAGAAGAGAACAAATGAAGAATCGGGGGAATTCGTCCACAGAGTTCAAGGCCCTCCGTGGAACAGAAAAATAGTCCGACTACCCGCAAAGAAGGATCAGAATCAAGTGGATTAAATAGAAAATCGGATCAGAACTACCTCTCATGTATATACACAAATGCAGATAGTTTACCAAATAAGTTGGACGAATTAAAAACAAGAATTAATAATTCAGAAGAAAACATACAGGTGATAGGTGTAACAGAAATGTATCCTAAAAATAGTAGATTCTTACCAAGGAAAAGTGAATTCTTAATACAAGGTTATGATATTTTCGTAAATGAAAATTCCGACTCGCTCCATAGGGGGGTTGCAATTTATGTCAAAGAAGAACTTAAGGGGGTAGAGGTAAACATGAACACATTCAAGGAAAGCATTTGGGTAAAAGTCAAGCTAAACGAGAAAGACTGTCTTCTGATTGGGTGTGTATATAAAAGCCCCAATAGTAAGAAAGAAAATGTTGAAGAACTTTATAAACTTATAAACTCAATATCTACACTAAATAATGAATATTCACATATACTAATAATGGGAGACTTTAATTTGCCAAAAATTGATTGGAATTTAATCTCGGCGAAGAATGATGAAGAAAGCGATAACTTCATAGAATGCCTAAGGGATAATTTTCTCACGCAACATACCAGAAATTTTACAAGAATGAGAAAAGGTCATGAACCAAGTATTTTGGACCTGATAATAACAAACGAGGATGAGATGGTGAAAGATATCAACTACCAAAGTCCCCTTGGTCACAGCGATCACTTTGTTATGAAGTTTGATTATATATGTTACAAACATTATCCAGAAAGTTCTATATCCCGTAAATTGTACAACAAAGGAGACTATGAAAGGATAAAAAACGAATTGAAGGAGATCAAATGGGACGAAGTTTTGAAAGGTGATCCGGACACAATGTACACTACATTCTTAGGTATCTTCCATGAGAGCGCCGACAAAAATATCCCAGTAAGAAAAGAAAACAAACAACGTAAATCTAAGGACAAAAATCATCTGCCGCTGAACGATGCTGTGAGAATTAAGATTAACAAAAAACATAGGGCATGGCAAAGATATATGGAAACAAGAACAGAAGCCAAATACAAGGACTACACAAGGTTAAGAAATCAAGTAAAAAGTATGCTAAGAAAAGCACGTCGTGAAATGGAGAGAGAGATCGCCGGAAAGGTTAAGGAAAACCCCAAACAATTCTGGAAATACATCAACTCCAAACAAAAAGTAAAAACAGGAATTTCGGACTTGAAGGGACTAGATGATAACATATCAAAAATTGCCACACAAGACAAGGATAAAGCAGATGTTTTGGCTACATTTTTCAGTAGTGTATTCACAGAGGAACCACCAGGCAACACACCAAAAATGCATAATAAAATAATAAAATACCCATTTCGAGATATCATATGCACTGAAGAAAGTGTCGGAAAACTCCTCTCAGACTTGGATGGCAGTAAGTCTCAAGGACCTGACCAAATGCACCCAAAGGTTATGAAGGAACTAAAATCGATCATAAACAAACCGCTAAGTATTATTTTCAACAAATCATTGGAGGATAGTTCCATCTGCATGGAAAGAGGCCAACATCACAGCAATATTCAAGAAAGGTTCAAAATCGGACCCAGGGAATTATCGTCCCGTAAGCCTCACCAGCATAGTTGGAAAAACCATGGAAAAAATTGTGCGAAATTCCATCGTTAATAATATGGAAAACAATGATCTTTTTAGCAACAAGCAATTTGGATTTATCGCGAAACGGTCCACAGTTCTCCAGCTCCTTATGGTGCTTGAGGATTGGACGGATATACTAGATCACGGTGGGGAAATTGATGTTATATATATGGACTTTATGAAGGCCTTTGACAAGGTACCACATCCCAGGTTAATTGAAAAATTAAGAAGCTATGGAATAGCAGACCAAGTCGTCAACTGGATAGAAAACTTTCTACACGAAAGGAAGCAGAGAGTACTAGTTAATGGAAAAGCATCCAAAGACCACCCGGTATTAAGTGGGATCCCCCAGGGCAGCGTACTTGGCCCAATTCTATTTGTAATCTATATAAATGATCTGCCAGATTATACTTCTTCGAACACCTACCTATTTGCTGATGACACTAATATTTATAGTGAAATAAAAAGTGATGAGGACAGGAAGGCAATGCAACAAGACTTGGATAAACTGCAAGAATGGTCTAACAAATGGCTTCTAAAATTCCATCCACTAAAATGCAAAGTATTAACAATAAAACAAAAAAGGAAAGAAACATGGACATACCATATGGCAGGAGCAGAGGACAACGTGGCGTTGGAAAACATAACTTCAGAAAAAGATATTGGCGTAACGGTGGATAAAGATCTAAATTTCTCTATGCATACGCAACAAGCTGTAAACAAAGCCAACAGTAATGTTGGTCTTATTAGAAGGTCCTTTGTATACTTAGATGAAGTGTCTTTTAAACAACTGTTCAAGGCATTAGTCTGCCCACACTTAAAATATGCCGCAAGCGTCTGGAACCCATACAAAATAAAGGATATCGAATCAATAGAGCGCGTGCAGAGACGGGCAACTAAGCTTATACTGGGGCTGAAAGAACTATCCTACTCCCAACATTGGCATACCGTAGATTGAGGGGAGATATGATAAACGTTTTCAAAATTATGGATAAATTTCACGATGAAAAAGTCACCAAAGGCATGGTTGATCGAGACGAAAATTCTAAAACAAGAGGCCACTCAAAAAAACTGAAAAAGAAATCA